GATTGAACGCCCGACTGTATCTCACGAATGTTGCAATATAAGCATGGTGTACAATTTTAAATGAAAATAAAAAATGAAAGACAAACAAGGTAAGTGATTGCTTATATTTATCTTAATAAATAATAATATATCAACATTTATAGTGATAATATCTCACTGGAAATGTCACTTCATCATTTTATTATATTTTACTTCATTGTTTACATCAATGTAATAATGAGATCAATACCAAGTGTCGAAGAACACACTTGATTCTGGTTGGAAATGTTTTATTTTTAGGAACATTTCAGTCAATAATTATATGAATTTCATTTTGACTCCCATATTCTAAGAAAAGTATGTGTACACACTTCATAGTTTGAAGTTTTGAATTCAGATTTTTTAGAAAGTGATGCTTTTGAAAAAAAAATTCCTAGAAATCAATCAGAAATTTCTGATTGAATTCTGTTATTGATGAAAGTAATATAAAGACGTAATTTGATAAATTTAGCAAAAAAATTATTAAAAAATAAAAATATTTCTTAACATCTGAATTTATGGAATAATATCTTATAACTGTATAAGAAATAAATATGTTAATGCAATGAAGTCAAATACCTTGTCAATGTATCTTAAAATGATACATGATGGACATTTATTATATTAATGTTTAAAATAGAAATAGCGATACGAGATTAGATCCCTATCTAAAAATATTTCTTACAAATAAACTTGAAGATTTAATAAATATGTAAGATGAGATATATGTAAAAAGTTGTAGCAGATAAATAAAAATCACCTTTGTTCCTTGAATTAAGCGAAGATTACTTCAGAACCATATAAGTCGCAACAGTAGAAGCCTAAATTTTTGGATATAGTCAGTTTTTTTCTTCATATAATTCCTTAAGTTCCTATCCGCAAGCGATCAAATTACAAAGTTCAAGAGAAAATCAAAATGTCAAAGGATTAATATTTCACAAAATGACCATTTTGCATTTTGTTTTGACTCGATCTTCCACTTTCATTTGTGATTTCGACACACTCAGAAAAAAATCACTTTTTTGTGAGATCTTATACCACCCATGATCCAACTTCAAATAAGAATCGAGATATGCAGCTGCTCGGCGAATAAAGCCAACCATCAACTCCAAGGTTAGCAGAAGATTTCTATTTGGCCCCCCCTTTCAAATCCGAATGATCTAAACAGCCAGCCACAAGAGAAAAGCACGACGGCAATGAAGTTACCGGCGACTCCAGTTACCAGTGACTCCGGTTAGCGTCAAGAAGTTAGGACTTGTAGCGAGCAGACGAAGTTCCTCTGGGTCTCTGGTTCCTCGTCAGTCCACGAAAGTCTCTGACGATCGTGCGACGCTCGTCTTCGAGCTTGACTCGAAGTCAAATCGCAGTCGAGGACGAACTTTTCTCGTAGCAGAACAAACAAACAATTTGGTCATACCAGGAACGAACGAGAGTGCGATCTCAGTGAGCTGCATTGACCGATGGACGCAGAAGTCAGACGATGGAATTGATTATGATTTCCCGTGGGCCTTTTCGAGCCTGTTCCCGAAAGATTCGTCGCTGCAAGTGGGCGAGATTCTTAATTGAGCCCATCCGCAAGCAGTTAATGATCTCGTCTCTCGCTGTTCAGAATATTCATATGCTCTTTGGCAGTGCTTTTTACAGCTCGAGAAGACGTTCGTCGCAGCGGATCTGGAGTACATGGACGCTGCCCCGTCGAAGTGGACATGCCCAGTGCTTCGAGCATCATAATGATGGGGACGATTTTCCCCTCGATATGGCGTGGCCAGATGGGGTTCTTTGCATGTGGGGCAACTTGCAAGAGCAGATTTTATGCGTGAACAGTGAATGCGTTTAGGGTGGAGAAACGATGTCTTTGTTGTTTCATGTAAGATTTTCAGAAAACACGGTGCATTCGTTCGAGGTCAATGGAGGTAAAAAGAACGGGCCTCCAGCACAGTCAGAACAGCAGTAGGTGTGCACAGTCAAGATCGTCGCTAATCACGGGGTGAAAAGATCTCTTGCCAGAGTCACTGTGAACGGAGGCCGACTTCCTGTTACCCTTCGCTTGTGCTTCTGTTCAGGTTGTGGTGATCGGAGAGTCACGTGAATGGGTTCTGGATTTATCCGATATGCTGCGCCTCAGCTCCTTCCATCATCTTTGCCACTGTACTTCGTATGCAAGTACTGAGGCGGGCGTCTCTTTGCCCAACTTAAAGAGCACAGTGACGTACCACAGTTCTCGTTATTCATGACAATCATCCAGCAGTTGGCTGGGGTTGAGTACGGATCTTTGCTGCGCCTGTGGTAATCTTCTTGAATATAGTATTGTTGGATAAAACCTCAAGCGGGTGGTTATGCGATTAGGCATGACTCTACAACACAGAATCTTTTACCAATTTGCAGAAATTATGAATTATTGTGCCATGAACAATTTTGTAGAAATTGCGCAGCAGATGTTCTCGTCTTCTCAGAATCAGATGGACATTCATTGGACAAAGGCAAGAGCATTGTACAATCACTCACGAGTTACATCTCAGAGAGCTGGTGTACAGGGCAACCAGATACGTGCAGTCTGAGCTAAGGACATTGATTTAAAAACGCCGCACTCAACATATGCATCATTACTATATTATATGTTTTGTTTCTTTAATTTGCTTGATGTTGATGTGTAGGATTTGCAATCGACTTTGACAAAACTATAAGTAGATCACACGTTGGGTACATGCTATTTGGAATACTATTCTGGGAGCAGATCTACCTTCTAATATTGTTCACAACGTGATAATCTACCTTAGATCTTTTCTGCATGATTTTCCTACTGCCATGAATGAAGTGAGGGAAATAGAGGTGCACATTGTTTTCTAATATCTCCTCACGTGAATCCTTAATGATTGAAGAAGAAATCTGCAGATTCGAGACCTCTCCGTGTACGTTTCTTCGCATAGTGGTTTGCATTTGTAATGTCTCCAGGTGTAACCCAGCCCCCCGCCCCCCCCTCCCCCACCGCCCCCATTCCCAATTGACCACTCTATAAGCATTGTGTTTCTTGCAATGGCGATCAACATAAGAGCTACAGGGAAGGTTTACTCATGGAGGAAAAAGTCAAGGCACCACTGTGTCTCCACATCCTGTCGGCGCCACTGTCGACCATCAATGTGGAGCTGAGATTGTGAGCCAACTGGAGTGACTCCTGCTATATCAGGATTCGACCTTTGACCATAAAATGAAGCCGAAGGTGTCCGTCCATATATCGAGAGTTATTGCATTGCTGCGAAAATGAGAAAGTCAGCTTGCTGTAAGGACCAAAACATGCGTCAAGTGGAGGCCAGAAGTGATCACATGTGGACATTTGGAAGTCGGACACACTCATGGCTCAAGAATACACCTCCCCTCTCTAGATCTTGAGGCCCGCGCCTGTAGAACCTATCTGAATATCGAGAAGGGTATGGAAAGCATGCCCCAGTTGAAGGGTAGGGCAACTGCAATATTTGTTTGTATCGGCATTTTTCCGATTCCGATTATAAAAACTATAACGACACAATCTGAAACTCTGGTTTCCTATTGAACGCGCACATGTCCAAACTGGATCCGGCCTGGAACATGAAAGAGGGGGTGGTTGTCAATGCTGCTGGTGCTGGTGCTGGTGCTGCGAGTCCCGTCACTTATGAGGACAAGCTGAAACCTCCAAAGTTGTTGGTACCCATATCCAATCTAGGAGAAGCAGTTCATTGCTCGAGAAGGGAATGAGCCAGCCTCGAACATAAATCCTGTCGAACATCCGGAACATCAAACTTGAGTGGAATTCTCCTGGTACAGTCTAGCGGTAAGGACAACATGGAAAAAGGACACGACGGCTCGGCCATGCTTGCGTACACCAAGTGTGGAGTCGAGAATGACCACGACCGCCAGTATGGGAGGGAGGAGCTCCGCGGTCCCCTTCTGGAACTTATCGCCAGGAGAATATTCCTCCCCATGATTCTTCCATACCATGTTTGGCGACCTTCGGACGCGGGCGCGGGCCCGGGCCAGCGCCGGCCCGTCCAGTCAGCAAGGAAAGGAAGAAAGCGCACCCTCTGCCCTGCGAGCGAGCGAGGCTAAAGACGGGTGCTTGCGTAGGCCGACAATCATTGGTTCCTGCTGAGCACGAACGCGGAGGAGGAGGGAGGAGGAGGAGGAGGAGCGCGACGGAGAGAAGAAGAAGGAGGACGGACGGACGGAAGGAAGGGACGGAGCTGGAATGGTGAGCGCGGTTGGGCGGGCGGGCCATGAGTGAGGCCTACGGAGAAGATAGGCCACAGAGAACATTTGCGAACTCAGCGTCGGGAGTTCGAACTGTAGGGGGGGTGTCCAAGTGGGCGGAGGTCGGTTGGGATTTGCAGTGCTCGACCAACCAAACGGGTGCCAGTCGGACGCGCCACACACTTGGAGTGGAGTGAAGCCTTGCCGAGTCAGCACCGGCGCCTGCCGCGGCCACAAGATCCGCCCGGTCCTCGCGGCCTCCGGTCCGAGGCTCCAGACGCAGAGAAAGAGAGACGGAGCAAGAAGAGGAAGAGGAGGAGGAGGAGCAGCAGCAGCAGGAGAAGCAGAAGGGAACAGAAGAAGAGGTCGAAGGTCGATGCTGCGGATCATGATCATGGGAGGGGGGGCTAAGGGGAAAGGGGGAAGGGGATGACTTCGATCGAGCATGTCGTCGGGAGTCGGGACGCTGTTCGTAGTTGATGGTGGAGGTGCAGTGGTTCGGACGCCCGCCCGCAGCCAGCCGACAAAACGACTGAAGGATCGGTTTCCATCGCCCGGAAAAGCGGAAAGTTCCTTGGCGTGCACAAATATATTAAAGTAATGGAAAAAGGGTCGGGGCCCCGGAGGGCCTGCGACGAGCGAGGCCGTTTCCACGCTGGGTTTTTTTAAACCGCGCTGTCAAGTGCCGAGTGCAAGTGGCATGGTTCAATCGGTGTCTGCCAGAAGGGGAAAGACGGAGAGGGAGGGAGGGAGACAGAGAGAGAGAGAGAGAGAGAAGGAGAGAGAGAGAGAGAGAGCGCGAGGGAGGGACATTGGGATTCCCGATTTTCGAACCCATTTATGTTCTCGAGTCCACCAAACATATCCACCCCTCGCCTCCCTCTTGCTGGAGCAGACGGGCTGGCTCACCTCCCATTCTGCGAGCCTCGTCTGAGGACGAGAGGAGAGAAGAGGACCACTGTTGGGCAAATAGGACCACCATCTCCACTGCGAATGGGCCATAATAACTTCTGAATTTGGTCGCTCGTCGTCCGCACTCTCCCCATGCATGTTTCCCATACAGGGGAGGAAGAATTGGGTCGTTTTCTTTCTCCGCCAATCTTGCGGGGCTCGCTTCCACATTGTTGGGCGGGCGCAATTGGTCTTGTGAAGGAGGAGGAGGACCAGGAGGAGGAATTTGGCTGCGGTGCGGGGTTTTGGTTGGTAGGTCGGTCGGGCGGGTCGCGACGATGTCTGTGAGACTATGGGCGAAATTGGCTTCGGGTGCGCAACGGAAGTAACGAATAATTCTCGCTTCTTGCAGCTGACGTGCAACGTCTGGTAGCCGAGAACTGAATTTTGCAATTGTTCTCGAGGTGGCCCCGTGGCTGACCCAGGTCGATGAACAGTCAACAGGACGATGGGGGACGAAAGAATTGCGACGACTGAAACTGATCAGTCGACATTATCGGCCATCAATGTATTCGTCACTGGCCAACCCGGTACTTCAACTTCACTTGCGTTCGCAATTTTTTTCCGAGGTCTCTTTTTTTGGGTCCGAGACTCTTTAGAATGCAGTTAATTCTCTCATTTTGAACGAAGATTTTTGATACACTCGTCAGATCCTCTAGAGAGATGCTTTTGATTTTTTCTCTATACTCTGAATCATACTCAGCAGAATCTCTGACCATCTGAGCGAGGGGTTTTAACCAGCAACACCTCTAAACCCTTCGCAACCCTAATGGGAGATGCCTGATGATACCCTTTTTGGATCGGATGGAGGGAACTTGTTTTAGTTCTTTGTCTACTATGGGTACTTACTCAAAGCTGTGAGCGTAACAACTGACAGAACTTGGCATAGTGGAAAATTATCTCGAAACTTAGTTCTTACGTTTCCATTCCCGTTTTGGCAGGTGTGGGAAAGTCCTGGTGCGTCCACTATTTCCACTCAAATGGCATCGGGGCCATGACCTTCTCATCTTTCGTGGTTCATATATCTCTTGCTTTTTTATCAATGTTTTACTCATGTGGTTTCTTGCACACCATGTGGTATTTGGCTTCTTATAGTCGATAGTTGTAGAAATCTGGAGTCATGCCCTCCATTTACAAATGTTCACTTGGTTCTGTAAGAGGGTGTGTCAACCCTGTCTCCGAAGTTTCCGTGAAAAAACGTTATCTTGCATCATGCAGCACCTTCCCCTTGACCTCAAGTTTTTGCTTTCTATTACGATGTCTGTGGACTAACTTTCCGAATCCAGGTTGGTACTGAATGCTGCGAAGAAACTGCCACAGGATGTAATAGCGGGCTTTTACACTGTGGAGGCTCGTAACCCGAAGACTGGCGAGAAAATCGGATTCGATATTGGTGTGTAAGTTACACCTGTTTCTTCTATAGGATAATGGTTTAAACCTCTATATGGGTCAAATGGAAGACGGAAAAAGCTTGAAACAGTCGTTTACAAGTCTTCTTCCATGTCTGTACTTGTTCTTGCATTTATACGAGGCAGTATGCATCTGTGCTCGACATGTCCAAATCTCCTTGTTTCTCTGAAAGTAGAACTTATTAATGATCATCCCGCTTCTCCACTTCGGCGTTGTTCTGACATGTTATCCTGACCTTCCTCTGTAGCTGACCTGTAGGCTCCATCTGATTTTGAACTAAGCTTACTTGCTGTGAAAGTAGAGATCGTTTCATCAAATTCTTTTGGTCTCGCCAGTTTCATTCTATCGGTTGTATACCTACGTACATATGATGAGGTCTCAGATTTACCGAACGGGTTTTAGCACGGTTACAATTCACGTCAAGAACTATATCTTTTACTTGTTTTGAAAGTGGTGAAAACTTCTGATCTGTAGGAAAAACAAGAAAAGGTTTTTTTAGAGTGGGGAGCTCTTGAAAGTCAAGGGAAGTTTTTAGATGTGATTTCCATCTTATGGTTTTTGATGGCTATTTGGCGGTGGTTAAGTCTCCACAACGCTGACCTTGCCTAGATGGTCCTTTCTCCTCTTCAAAAAGAATAAGTTCAAAGATGTATCTCTTTGTCCTCGTTAGCTCCTTTTTTGTGATCTTCTATGTCGATATGATCTCAATAAAAGCCATTTGATGATTTTATTTCCAAGGTTAACGTGTTGTGGAGTTGACCGCTTGCATCCGATTTGAGTTTTTTTAGTTGTCACTTTGATGAACTCCTCTAGAGAGCACAACTCTACGAAGAGGGTTCACATGCGCGATATTTTTTTTCTGTAAATGGCAGGCATACTATCTGTAGGCAGCTTCCATACTCTTTTGGAGATCTTGTACCTAGCTCTAATTTAATGGTTAGATACTTTCTCACATGTTCACTCGTTGCCCACTTTGCTCCGCTCACACCCTTCCGATTATCCTTCTCGCTCTCATCCATGTTGCATTCCACTCTCTTCCACTCTCATTTTTTTACGGCTATACTTAGACGACTACTGCAGTCAACTGTGTGTGCGGGCAGCTTCCTGCATTTATTATCACAATCTACATCTCGTCGATCGATCCCTTGTGTATAAAGAGGAGATGTAGTGGGCTTTAAGGTTCAAACATAAGGCCTGATGTAGCTTTTACATGTACGCGTCGTTCGTACGTCGGATGGAATTCCAATGAAGAACGTACGTCGACACATATTCTTAGATGGACGTAATGTAATTGCCAGGGCAATGATAGTGAAGTGTAGCTATCAAGGGTTCGCAAATATGGTAACTCCAATGTTCCCAACAAGTGCAGCTCTGGGACTTTTCAAAAGTGTGAAGCCTTAACATGGGCGCCGGTGGGAGTTTTGGTGTGAATCATTTCAGGTACATCTGCATATTACAGCTCGAGATATACATATCCAGGATCAGCTGAATATGAAAACGCACAATTTCAGTCTCCTGGACTCATTTGAACTGTCCAGAGTCCAAATTTACCTATTTTGTGATGATTACAGCTCAATATTTGTACTTGTGATGGGAGTCAACCTTCAAACTTCTTGCCCATCATCTACAGTTTTATGTTCTTGGAAATTGGCCTGATCTCATTAGAAGTAAATTTATCTGTTTGGTCATAAATAGCGCTCTTCTAATTTGTGTCGATCAGAGTATCGATACTCACACACTTAGGAATGTTTTTTTACATCAATTTCTAGAATGAGGACTTCTCACAGGGCTTGCCCAACCTTTAACCTTTATTTCTGAGAATATGTTTGGAGCATGGATTGCTTCTGTATCTGTTCACATCAACGAATTTTAACTAGATGGTGCTTTCACAGAAACTTTTTCGGGCGAGCGTGCACCACTATCTAGAATGCGGAAAGGATGTGGTCCAAAGGTGCGTATTTCAGTAAGATAGCGGGATTCACTACTCGAAAGGCTCTGCAGATTATTGACGAAGTTGCAACCTTGTTCACAATAAGGGGAGCATTCGTTTGGAATTCGATTTCAGCCCATCTGTATCACCAACTGTTTGATATTTTCGGATGTAGGTTGGCAAATACTACTTCGCTCTAGATGATTTTGAGAGGGTCGTACTTCCGCTACTGAAGCCTACTAAGGGTATCAAGCTCCATATTGTGGATGAGGTTTGTCACAACAGTTCCAATACTTATGTCTTTTAATTTTTGCTTCCAGAAATTTGAGGTTGTTTTGAGTCCTTTTTCTTCGTTTGTTTTCCATTGTCCAAAACAATCATCAGTGTTTTTTTTTTCTCTTTCGCTTCTGATTTGCTTCTTAAGAGATGAAGGCAATCTAGATCAAATTATCGCTATCTATGAAGGTTGAAGTATGATTCTGAAGTAAAAATAATAACAGGTAGCTTGGTTCAAATTACCAGGTAGGACGCATGGAGCTTCAGAGTGAGAGGTTTCGCGATGCTCTTATGAATCTCCTCGCTTCCCCACAAACAGCTGTGAGTCCTATGCGTTTACTTTTCTTTGTAGTTTATTTCACACGACGATATTCATTGGATCCCACAAGAAAGTTTGTTCATATTGAAGGGTAGATTCACTGCCTGTCGAACCATCTTGCCAATGTTTGTATTGCTTAAATTTTTGGATACTTTGATGTATTGCAGGTTTTTGGGTCTTTGCCTGCCCCGAGATTTGGACATGATTTGCCATTTGTGGAGGATATTAAGCAGCGTGCAGACACAGGTATATATTTCCGCATGTGGACCCCGGTACTCAAATTTGGATGTACGAACTATTAGAACGTTGTTTCAATGTAAATTCTAAAATTGAAGACTGCCAGGCAGTTGAACGTCTTTAGGTTTTGGTTTCAATTTTTTTCATTCTTTTTCATCTGCCTGCAAAGGATTGCTATCTCCATGGAACTCATCGGGTACTAACCCACACCGGTTTATACATGTATTTATTCAAAGTGACTTTGCATGTTTTCTTCTTGTCTCAATATGGTGCTTACACTCTCCATGGTGTATTTTCTTGTGTATCATTGTCGATTTTATCTGGGTCGCATGAAATCGAGAGGTCCTATCATGAATGTATAGCTAACTACGAAAACATTCAGTTCGGAAGCTCTCATTTCGGATCAGCTTTGAAACAAGTACGTGTAGCGCTACAGGTATCATTGCCTAATCAAATGCTACGGTTTATCCTTCGTAATGTAATGCAGCAACCTTGACACTCACGAAATCAAATCGAGATACAACTGCTCAAAAAGTGGAGTCAATTTTGATGAATATCGTGGGATCTTCAGCCACCAATCAGGCACCAGTGCAGGTTAAGCAGCCAGAAGTTGCAACAGTTTCAGATATCTCAACCGGCAGCACTCTTTTGTTTGACCCCTCTGATTTCCTAAACTCCACCGGATATTGCCCAACAGGTAATGAAGCTTCTTATGTACTTGGTGATTTCCTCTACCTGCCTTATGAGAAACGGCTTCTAAAACTTGATGTTGTCCTCATGCAGAAGAACCCGATATGAAGCGGATGAGATATAGTCAGTCATTAGACTGATCCCCATTTTTTTTTTACGATTGTGTCTCCGAATCTACAGGGGTCTTTAGCAATCCTTCTGAAGTTTGGTCAGTGCAAACTTGTACATGTTACCAAAAAGGGGATTGAACTCAAAAGGATTGTCACGTCTCAATTTATGGATGCCTGTTTTTCCTTGTTTCATATGTAGAGCCTGAGAGATGACCAATAGGTTTCAGACTTTTCCTGCGTGAATGGACTGTGCTGAGTACAGTCGGGTTCATTCAAAAGTCTTTATCAAATCATTATGCATTAGATAAGTGCAGCAGCAGCAAATTCGGAAACTCAGTCACAGGTTTTGCATCTTGTACAATCACTCTTTATGCATTGGGGCTATCACCTCTGCGTTCCAAGTTCACCAGAACCAGAACGAGCGTTTCTTTTATGTGGCTGAGCATAAGCAAAAGAACAAGACACATGTTTTTAAACTGAAATGTTTGGAATTTGGTTCGCATGTACATTATGATAAAAACATTACATACCCTTATACGGAGGCACGTTTTAATGATAGTTTCCTAAACTATGTAGAAAAGACCTTGCATCACCGCTGCCGTGTGCATCCTACCGTTCATTTGCTCTGTCTGGTCCAACAACTAAAACTCAATACACATATTCTACCTCAGGTAAGGTCGGTGCCAAAACTTCTGTTGAGCATCAGTAGCATCATCATTGTGTTGGAGTGAGTTTTAATACAGGACTACCGAATTTACGTGGAAATTAACTTACTTAGAAGGGATGTACAACATCTCAAGCTTCTCTGATTTCGCATTCTGCGTGTGTAACAAATAAAAATGTGTGTTTTTTTTCTTGTGTCTTGTCCTCCGTGTGCACTTGAGGGTGACTTTCTCAAGTGATTATAAGAGTCAGCAGTCCAAGCCTTGAAAACTCATGACAGTGCAAACGCTTGCATCAGCGAATCCTGTTCCTCGACAAAGCTTCAGTCCGCTGTCTCCTCGATCTGGGATCTCCAACACGGCCATGACAATTCCAGGACGAATCTTTTCCTTCTGTGTCTTTAGGATCCTAGTAAGGATACTAGATATAATGGCAAATATTATATTGTTTCTAAAAACTCTTTTAAGGTAGCTTGCAAACCAGATATCCTCCATCCCAATTTGCAGAGTAGCTTGTACATCGAATTGTGATTCAAGCATGGATTGATGTAAAGGAAATATTCTCCTCGAAGCTAGTGAATAAAAACAAAGAAATCCCAATCGAGGTCTCAGATACATGTCCGTGGGCAGTTACTGCCCTTCGACACCTTTCCCGTAAGTAGAATGTCCTTCACTCCTACAGTGATCGGTTGGTAGTCCTTTCTCTAGAAAGGTAAAGGCTGTCGTTTTCGATACCATCTTCTGCAGAGCTGGATCTAGTTTGTCACCTATCCTTGATTTCTTTGTGAACTTTTTCCGCCTCAATGTTGGATGCATTGTTTTTCTATCCATCAATTGCCCTGCCAAGTTTTCATAGGTAGAGTCGGCAATGTCCCAAATGTCCTTTGATAACTTATATGTAATGCCATTGGATTTCTCGATCGAGAAATCTCCAAGCTTGGGATCTTCACGGATGTAAATTACCTTCTAGATGTTGACCATGGCACGCTGTAACTCATGGTGTGGGCTCAGGCAATCCTTGGTAATAGGGACTGAGGATCTTTATAAGATTCCAGAAACAGTGATGCGGTCACAGAAGTATGAATACGCTCGTTATAATTAATTTGTATAAATCAATAAGCCAATAAGCCAAAGTAAAATCCGTTAACGCCGAATCTACCGAGAATAAGCTAATTTCGGCACGCCACCTGGTCTTCAATTCGGCATTGGCCAAAGTCTACCAAATGCCGCGTCACTAGGTCGAACTGTTACGCCTGGAATACCCCGTCCAGTGCCAGACAAGTCAAAGACAGTCAAATCCGTCCGACGATCGTCCTTCTTCCACTTCAATATGGAAAAATCTATCTGTTTTTGGCAGAACTGTCTCAAAGAACGGAATGAACCATCTGTTACGCAGCCCTCGACGTCATTCCAACCAACGTTAAACAAAGTCTCGTGATCATGCTGGTCAATCTTGATCTTGACAGGTTCGTTTTCAATGTACTCTAGTCTACCAAGGTGTGGTATATCGAAGCAGCGGCTAATGCGGCAGTGACGGCCATGGTGAACGCGATGCTTACAAAGATCTAGGCAAAGGACATGATCATCTCGTAGCAGCGTAGTGAGATTGAACATATGGTCTGTCGGCTGTGCACCATGGTCTCCGCCAAGCTGTTGTCTGATGACCTCAACCTGGTCGGTGCATATGATGTCTTATCTCTGCGTTGGTGGCTTCCGGCGGACGCTCTGATCAACTTCATCGAGGATCAGGAATCATTCGTCTGCGACCTACTCGGTAATCTCAGTCTGGGCGACAAGCCGAAAGTTCTGCGAGAAATTGGCGAATTCATCCTCCATATCCTTGAGGGTATGTGCGATGTCCAGGCAGAACGAGATAGCATGAACGAGGCTGCTGCTTCACTTGCTCCTAAGGTCATGCCGGCTGAGCTGGTCAAGATGCCACAGTGTATATTTGTTGCCGAGATGCTCGATCCACGCCGAGCCCATATAGCAAAGTTCAGATCTGCGGAGCAGACTGAGGAGATCGAGAAGGATCAACTCTCACTGTGCCGAGAGTACATTGTAAACGAACGTGTCAATATCAAGATTGACCAACATGATCACGAGACTGAGATTACCGAGTAGGTCGCAGACGAATGATTCTTGATCCTCGATGAAGTTGATCAGAGCGTCCGCCGGAAGCCACCAACGCAGAGATAAGACATCATATGCACCGACCAGGTTGAGGTCATCAGACAACAGCTTGGCGGAGACCAGGGTGCACAGCCGACAGACCATATGTTCAATCTCACTACGCTGCTACGAGATGATCATGTCCTTTGCCTAGATCTTTGTAAGCGTCGCGTTCACCACGGCCGTCATTGCCGCAACAGCCGCTGCTTCGATATACCACACCTTGGTAGACGCATCAAAGAGCTTTTTCTCCTCGATGTGCGTCAACAGACGCAAGCGCTTGGCTAGCATTCAATCGAGCGTGTTGCACATGTGCAGCCAGCGATTGGTCAGCTTCAGACACGCCGAGCCAATTTTGTTGATTAGATTCGCCTGACAATGCAGCTGCAGAGCCCATCGATTTGTTCCCTTGACGAATTGCCCATCGTCAATCATGACGAACCCCGCCTTCATGACGAGATTCATCTGGTGCGTAGGACTCTAGACGCGCATGACATCATTCGTCGCCCGTTGCTCAAGCAGAGTGATGAATCCACCGCGACAACCTATCATGGTGTTCTCGCCATCTCAAGAGAGTCCAATCAGCTTATCGCGCCAGCCGGAATTGATAATGTCCATGACCTTTGTGATCAGATTGACCTGGTTAACAACGGTGTGTCGGTCGAACATGTGAATGGCCAGCAAATGCATGTTGACGAGAAGGCCATCCATTGCCAGACACAGATGTTGATTCATGAATGAAATACCCATGTGAGTGCTTGTGTCGCACACAAACGAGAATGTCCACATCGATGGATTTTCCATCAGATCGTTGAAATGCTGCATGGCGACCGCAACAAGAATACAGACGTAGCCGCTGACCAAAGCATCGGTTACTCTAGTCAATTTTGCATTCTTGATGAACTTTTGGTGTTGTTGAATGACGGTGGCGGTCTGCCTGGATGACAGCCTGGCTGACGTGTGCTGAATCACGAGTTGATATCTAAGCGTCGTATTGATCGTGACGTTGAAGTTGCCGTTCTCCTGATGCCCAAACAGCTTCAACGCTGTTTCGGCCAAGATCGTTTCGTCCTCGGAGTTGAAGAACAGCTCGCCAATCAGAATTCTGACAATGTGCTCACTTATGATAAATATCAGTGTGGAGCTCGCGTCATCGAAGAAGTAGAACGTATCCTTGAACTCAGTACTCTTGTTGAAGAACACTCTCTTGTCCTTGAACGAGATTGACTTGTACTAGATCCACTTGACCACGTGGGCCTCTTTGTGATGGACTTGATAGTTGTCTGTTCGGTAAGGTGATGCAAAGAGTTTGATGTTCTGGGTACGCTTGCGATTGGCACCAGGAACTTGCTACCGGCCATGGAAACGGTAGAATTGGCACTGTACACTGTCAACGACACCGTTTGCATCTCGAGACATCACCTTCAGGCCATACTCGACTTCATGATTTGCTTGAAACGGTGGGCCGCGAGTTTTTGAGTTCGCAAGCACCTTGTTGACTGACACCACCATCTTGGCAAACTGACATGTGTCCGCGTTCAACTTAGTCAAAGCCCGTTCACACTTTACACTTTACAACATAAACTCTACACTCATTCATTCTTACAATTTTATTTTCGGCGTCCTCTGCACCGTTAAATTTGGCAGTTTTGGCATTTAAGGGGCCGTTGCCGAATTTAAAGAAGTCTGCAATAAGCTAACGGGAACTGAGTCTTAATTTCCTGCCAGTTGTATATATATTCTTTCCTATTCATCACACGGACTAATCTTGAACTATGCACTCGAGTATATGTCAACAAGTCATCCAACAAACTTGCTGTGTCATTGTTGATACTCTCACTCTGATAATGCTGGAGAAGATACCGAAACCCTTTGATAATGTAGGAGGAGGCACTGAGGCCACTTGGCACGATAGCTTAGGATAAGCATGCACTTCAGTTTTAGGTTCAGTAATTTACGTTAGGTCACTTGCCGACGTTCCTGTTCCGAACATGTATTTAACCCGCCTTTATTCAATGAAAAATACATATGAGTGAAATGATTGCTTGATAACACGATTCTCTATATGGTATCAGAGCCCGGTAGGAATTGTTTGCCAAGGAGAAAAATCCTTCCAGCCCATTTATTGAGCAAAAGTTGTGCGAGTCGAAGCAAAGCATCGACGAGGAGGGGAGCAGTACAGACAAAATACAAGTATGATCGAGAGTTCAGGAAAAATAATTAAAGTGACCGGCTAGTTATCCCTAATTAGGGCTAATATCACACTACTGCTTATTAGCCCTAAATGACTGATAACTAACCCTTCCCTAATTAATTTTTTACAACAAATCACAATGTTCGAACATTGAGAAATGAGTTTATAGTAGGGTGGGGATAATTAGCCCTAAGTGAGGGATAACTAGCTCCTCCCTAATTAAATAGCTACAACACATTCCTCGTCACAATCACAACAATAGGTGGCTTTGTCCTCGACTTTGTAGCCAGTTGGCCCCTTGGAGTCGAGGAGGAAGGAAGAGCAAGTACTAAATAGATTTATCTTCCATCACGTCTCGAGTGGGAGAAGTGCCAATAGCTGCATCGGGCAAATATTGGCTACCGCTCGATCGGCTTGAGGAGGATTAAAGGCATGCACAGAGATGTCGAACGTCGAGGCTCCATGCAAGTGGATTAATTAATAATCGCCGGAGCCCAATCATGGGAATGGAAACCGCAGCTGGGGTTACTATGCAGGTGCTAAGGCTCGCGGGACGAATCGCTGGTGGCTTGTGCGATGCCACGACGTTGGACTCGCGCTCGAGAGCATGCGAACCAGAGGCGCCCACTTGTTACAGGTCCCACCATTTCTTGAAGCCGAGTGGAAAGCGTCTGTGATCTCCGCAGTCCAGCAACGCAAAGAGTCTGGGAAATCAGAGGTTCGAGTTTTGGTTGGTACTTCATCCTCGGCCGGTGTTATCTGCAATTTCGGGACCTTAGAGGCTTAACGAACTGTGCGGAGTTTGCTCATCGTCCACGCGCAGATTTGCTGCATTCCGCACTTCCCCGCTGCAAGATTATCTGCACAATGCCTCTTCAGATTGTGCCCCTCGCGAAATCCTCCACCTGCATGGCCGCCGCGCTGCTGTCGTCTTCGCTCTGCCTCACATCCGCCTCTGCCGCGGCTGTTACCTCGGCCTCTGTGAATTCGTCGTTCGCTCTCCGAGCACCCGTCGAATTGTCCTGCTCCCTGTCATCGGCATCCGCTTCGTCCTGCTTCGGCCAGAGGTTCCAACTCGCGTTCGCGCCCTCCGTCTCCTCCTCTCCTGCTCCCGCTCGCCGCTCCATGACGACCAACGCCTCCTCTGCTACTGCTCCCGCTACTGCCAAGAGCATCCATGAATTCACCGTCAAGGTAAGCAAGACCCTTTTCCTTCTGTGATCAACGCGGCTCCGAGTACTTCCCACGGAGTTCGGCCGAGAAGTTTGAGGCTCGTTCTGTTTCTGGAAGCCCGCAGGTCTTAGGATGTCCTTCTGTACGATTGACTTCGTGTATATGATTCTGTATGAGAAGAATTAGTGACTGGGATGAACGATTTGGGAATTTCTTTCAAAACATGTCATTTCTGCGGGCCTGCGTGTTCATCATTTGCAAGTTGCGTCGTCGGCAGGTTCTTGTCGGGCCCAGAGGTCTACTCAATAATTCAGTTTCCCCAGTGGACCCGTATCACACTGATGCAATCGGCTCGTGTGTGACGAGGCTTTCCGAATTGTGAGGTACCTGTTGACAACTGGGCTTAGATGCAAGCGATGGTCTCGGGGAACAACACGATTTTGACTGTCTCTTATGACACCATCGCTGCTTCGAAGAAAATGCCAGTTTACTATTATTAATAATCTCTCTGCAAAGTCATCAGTACATAGATCTGAATAGCTAGCTTCTTTGCTGGTTACATGTGGGCTCATGTTCCATTGGGATGTGGTGGCCGGAGATCATGGAAGTTGTCTTAAGCACAGATTTAGAACGGTTCATAAACTTTGTAGATCACGAATTGGGCGACAGTTTGCCTCAACTGATGAAACAGTGGCATAGCGCTCTGTCTCGCCTTCTGATTCCCAGATCGACATTTTTCGTGGATGGCGTTTTGTAGTCCCCTTTTTCTTTTAATTCCCTCGAGACTGATCAACTTTGTTTATTCAGAATAATGCGGGCGAGGATGTGGATCTCAGCGTTTACAAGGGAAAGGTCTTACTCATAGTGAATGTTGCCTCTGCCTGGTAAGTATCTTCTCAAACTTTTCACCATTTGTATCGATTTTTCTTGCTCACTTTATCTTCTTCGGCTGTATCCCTGCCTCTTCCTAAGGAAGGTCTTCTGTTGAGCATCTATTTCAGGATGGGTGAGGCTGTTCTGAGTTTGACTTTAGTACTTTGGAATCATGTCAGTTCGAAAACGGCTTAATTGCGCCACCGGAAGGTACTGACAGTTTCTGCTTTGTGCTCAGTGGCTTGACCAAGGATAACTACACGGAGTTGACTGGGCTCTACAACGGCCTTCGGGACAAGGGTAACTTCGAATCCTCGCTATTTGAATCTTTTGTCAATACGCCGGCTGCAACCACGTCAAGAAGTGTCCTGGTGTGCCGTTTTTTGTCAATGGTTGTAGCTTCATCGATCAACATACTCAGGCTGTAGTCTAGACGAAGTCATCTGCGTAGTCAAGTGGGTCGAGGTTTGAAGAATTGCTAACAGTTTATCGTGGGGATTTTCTCCAGGTTTGGAAATTTTAGCTTTTCCCTGCAACCAGTTTGGTGGCCAGGAACCCGGCACCAATGAGCAGATCAAGGAATTTGCTTGCAGCAGATTCAAAGCGGAGTTCCCTATTTTTGACAAGGTTTGTACGGATCTCAAATTCTTGTCGAACAATGCCATTTTGAGAGCCCTTTACTTGTAATTTGATCGTTCATTTCCCGTATGGAACTGAGATGGATGTGGACTTAAGTCGAAGTGTTTGTTCCTGTTCGATGACAGTGGTTATTAAGTCGCATTTTCTGCCTTCAGTAGCCTCTTGTTCTGCCACACAACTAATCAGCGAAGGATGAACTCTGCTCTTTATAAAAGTTACGAGTTTTAGACCCCGAGGACAGGGTGATCATGAGTTGTGTGCATCTTGGGTACAGGTCGATGTGAATGGACCAAACACTGCCCCCGTCTACCAGTTTTTGAAGGCAAACAAGGGTGGAGGCATCCTAGGTGACAGCATCAAGTGGAACTTTGGGAAATTTTTGGTTGACCAGGAAGGGAATGTCGTGGAGAGATATGCTCCTACCACATCCCCAAAATCGATCGAGGTACGCCCATCTCTCTTGTTCCCACCCAGCGAAGTTCTGTCTTCACGATCTCGTGAACTGTTTACATTACAAACTTTTGGTTGAACTGCACATGAGGTTTAGGTACTTTGTATGATTGCATCTGATCTAGAACCAAGCCCACTGTCTTCAAGAATGATAGAGCGATTGTGCCTTGCATTGCACGATTCGAAGTCGAGAAACCTCCCTGAATTGTTCAAACTATTTTTTTTCGAAGCCGGCGATGTCTGTGATGGCATCTTTAGTCCAAGAGTTTTGACCCACGACACGAAAGAATATCAACATTAAAATTTCAACTCTTGAGTAAGCTTTTCAAAGTAGACCTCAAGTCGAACTTAGCTAGTCGGATATTATGCACACAAGTCTCAATTTGTTGACGCATAGACCATCTCCACATTGACTTGGGCGATGAAAAACCAGCAAAGGAATCTGCTAGATACCCCTCCTCAACCTGCTGTTGATGGCCTGTTACAATTTAGGTAAGAAAGTTAGCCGGCATTTTGCTTTAGGTGCTGATGTAAGATCCACAGCTTTCGAAACAATGTCAGTCTTCATCTTGTGGTCTATCCTTTGTGGCCACACACTGTTGTGTTGGGCGCTGGAGTTGTGACCACACACAAAAGAATTGGTTCCCTTGACCCTGCAGGAGGATATTGTTCGGTTGATCGGAATGCCACCTGCTCCCCTGCCCGAAGCCCCTCCGCAGGCGCCTCCGCAATGAAGAAATCAATTGAGCGAGTGGTTCGTTTTTTGCTTGTCTTAACAGAAGGACATCAGGAATCTTCTAGGCGTTTGAGCGGGCTCGAAGGGCCTGTCATAGTAAGAAGTGTAGAATAAGAACGGCACCGTACTCTGGCTTTTACACTCGTGCAAGGGTGGAGGCATGTATTTCTATGAGCTCAGGTTTTCATGAGAACTAAGTTCTCAGTTCGCCATTTACATCTTAAAGGATTTACATCATCAAGGATTTTGTTTGCTTGAGAATCTGAAAATTTCTTGGTTTGATTCTACAAATCTCCTACGCATGTTATCGTCTGTAAGCTTGCTAGTCGACCGCGACGATCCAGTTGAGTATCTCAGCTTTTCTTCATGTTCTCGCTTTTACGGTACCGTCACCGTCCTCAACTCTTCCAAACATCCATCGCATGGTATTTGAGGGTTTCTGACTTTTGTCAGGTCGTTGACACGTTCGTTAAATCATTTCTGTCGTGCATCTGGCTTGTGTGCATGTGGCTTCATACTCATATTCTTTTGACTGTCACAGATTTCGAAAGTTCATATTGACCTTTTGTTGAATGAAGTAGATGGAATTCAATTAAGGTGTCTATCTTCTTTCGTTTTCCGTTCTTCGCTCGTCGCTTTCCTTAAATCTCTCGCAAAACCGATGTAATGAACCATCGGATAAGAGATATCATCTTGGCATTATTTTGTGCGTACTTGCGAGTATGATGTGTTCGTAAACCTCCAATTTGCGTGAGTTGCAAATCGATAATTGTCAGTCCTGTATGAGCGAACGACGCATTATTAAAAGCTACGTCGTGTCGTAACGACGTTTTCACAGCATGTGCCTGATTAGGAAGAGAAGTGGAGTGCGTCCTCCTAAGAAATCTTGAATGAAGAACCAGGCCGCCTCAAGTCAAGCTACCGAACACGTAGCACGAACTATTGCACATGCCTGAATTTCTGGCAGATCGCAAGTTGCTCTTTCTGGGCAAGCTGCAATCAGACTGAAATAAACGCACTCACGGATCGTACGAAGTGGTAATAAAATGTTATGACTGCCCACATGCCTACTCCAGACACCGTCGCCACGTAGAGAGAGCAAGTCGCAAGAGAAGCCTCTTTTACGAGTCGCAGACTCCACAACCCACAAATAATCTAGTACAGAACGAGAGCTTTGGTACCTTCAATTGTCCCACAGAACTGTCGAATTCACATATACATGAACACGTAAACATCATGCGTCTCACGAAATTTTCCACGTCCCGAAAGTGATAGCATTGGCGATAGTGTACGTCCCGAACAGATGGGAGGAATCATGATTTGCTGCCCTACCGGCGACGAGATCGAGGAGGAATGTAAGATTGAAAGAAGAAATGTTTTGTATTTGTGCCCAAATGTTTGAAAGTATATCTTCTCTAGAATAACGTCAGAGCTGACGATTGGCCTCTGAGCCTTCTCCGCTAGAAATCTCCAGGCGTCCGTGATCGTGTACACAGTGGGTTCGATCTCCCCTACGCATGGCTCGAAGAAATGAATGTGATAGACCTCTGGTCTTATTCTGACATCCAGATGCATCCTCGCGTCGATCGGCAGCTCGGAGGCATCCGAATGAAGGTTCTCGAAGCAGAGGTAGCGCCGTCAAGCTGGTTGGCCGTCAGCCTGTCCATCGCAGAATTTCTTTTTAGCAAGACGAGGACGAGGTTTCAAAGGCGAGAAATGGGACGCTTGCAAATTGACCATCTCCTGAAGAACGGAGAGCAAAGTAGTCTCGATACGAGGCCCGTCGAGTTCCAAAATTCCCAGAGCACGAGCTATGGCTTCCATGGTACTGACGCAGCCGGCGAATGGCTCCTTCCTCAAAATCGAATCCATGTCGCCCATGCCCCAACCTTCTCGAGAAACGTCATGAGGCAAGCTCACATTCGTCACAAAATCTTCCAAGAACGGCGCACTGGCTTTGACCATCTCCTTGGCATGCTGCCATGTCCCATCGACAATCAGTAGGGTCCTCTGTCTCCCACGGCAACCATCACCGCAGCTGCCATCTCTCACCTCCTCATGCGCTAAACCTTGACCTTCCCCACCTAGTTCCAAAGCCCGTTCTGCAAGCGAGTGCAAGGATTCCCCTTCCGTCAATTCATCGCCATCGACATGCGGGTTTCCAATGTCCAGGGACTCAGACGCTGAAGAGCGCGTGGCATTTTTTGAGGACTGACACCACGCCCTCAAATCGGTAGCAGTTGGGGTCGGGAAGAGAAGAAGCACTGAATTCTTGTGCCCGCAAGTACGACATTCGGCCGAGGAGGAAGAAGCGCACTCGTCGAGGTGGTGACAACTCCCAGGTCGAAATTTCCGCCCAACCACGACTTCGCAATCCAAGAGGCAGCGGGCAGCGACTGGCACAGTGGCGAGCTTGTGACGAGTCTCGTGGGGATGCTGCAGAATTATGATCTTGGTGGCGGTGCGCAGAGGGTGCTTTGGAAGCACGGAGCATAGGCACACGCGATGAGGCCGACCGCAGGACACGCAAGTCTCTCTCATGGTCGCCCGCTTGAACTCAGCCGCTTGTACGCTTCCCCGACCTTCTCAAACGATTCGACACCGTGATTCGAACCCTGCGAGTGGAATGAGGCCGACATTAACCAGCGCGGAATCCTGTCACCACACGAAATCGTTGCCCTCGAAGCCTAGTTCTCTTTCGTCCTCAGCCCCACTTGTGGAGCAAAACCCTTCGGGCATTCCGCATGAAGAGGAGCTATGCCGTCTAGTCCCCTCGATTCGGGCATACCGCTACAAGTTTGGACAACTTCGAGACGCCATTGACGAGCATCTTCCTTCGAGCATATATCGTCCAGAGCATCCGCGCACACTACGCAAGTGATGGCTAATCCCGATCTTCCACTGGACGTCTGCAAGACGTAAATTCCCAAAGTGTCACAACACCTCCTTGCTTGTCGCAGGTTTCTGGAAACGTGATTGGCCAATCCACAACCTCGAATGCACTGCATTGCACTTCGATTCGATCCGTCTATTTCTAAACCGGTCCAGCATTTCCGAGTACAATTGCAGCGTTTAAGTTCTTTACGATCGATACCGAGATTAGCAAGATGACTGGCCCTGCAGACTTCGTTTGCGAGAGAACACAGCCTTGTGAATGCTACGGAGAAGGACAAAATAGGCGTCCAGGAATTTGCTCCTTAACGAATTGTGACTACCATCGACGGTAACGCATGTTCCATGAGAGTTCCTCAAACTGCGGGTATCTCGAGAGAAATCAGCATACAAGTAGTCTTACGCACGAAATCCTAGAAGCATTAAAGCATCCTACGAAAATGATGTCCAAATTCCTCATGTGGTGGATACTTGAGGTATAGTTGAGTTTCTTCTGGGATGGAGTAAATTCCAGCAGCCATCTTTCCGTCTCCACCCTGATCAGCTTCCCTTCTGCGCGGCAGCCATTTTCGCGTGCATCATACATACTAGTTGCATACCAGGCGATCTGTCCTCTTTCCAAACAGTGGACAAAGGTATGTCAATGATCGCAAGGCTAGTATAGCATCCATGAAAATTAGAACAGATACGTAAAAAGCGTAAAAAATTTGCCCGGCATCAACATCGATGAGCGAAGTAGCAGATTGTCCCACACTTCGATTCAACTTTATCCCAGGCCAACTCATCGACTTGCGGCAAAATTGTGAAACTCGACAGTTGTGTGAGGATAATGACTCAACCATTGCCGCTGAGGCTTAGCCGATATAATATTACTCGATGCAGAAGGTAAGATTCAATACAGGGCAATGCAGCCACTGAATTAGCTGGAGAAGGTACGATGGCGTTCGTGGAAGATTCGTTTGGGAATACCTCCAAGCCTCCAATTGGCAACAAAGGACAGAGGAACACCGCAGCAGCAGAGTTGGTTTCACTTTGTGCGACACCTATATCGAGCTGCCGCTCTACGAGTTATCGTCATGTCTATTTGAAGATGGAGTACGAGACAGAAAATGCGAAGAATAGGAAGGGTAATGATTATGAGAGGAAATATGAATGTGAGGTCTATTCTCCTAACTCACGACATTAGGTCTTGGCTTTCCCTTCGATGACGAACTTCGCTCAATCGCCGGGAGAAGCCAGTTTCACAAGAAGGTACAGTAGTCTCCGGGTTAGATACGCACCCGTTTAGCTACGCATTTTTTTTGCACAAAAATAGGGTTCAACTCATGACATGTCGTTCATTTGGTTTATGGTCAAAAATTGTTACTCCTCCTAGTGGTTGTGAAGCGTGAACCTCTAGTGGCTGATATCTACTCATTTAACATTAGAGACAAACTCTCATAGTAGAGAAAAAAGCAAGCCATTATTGCAAAATCAAGAAAAGATTATATTATCTTTTTGAGGTTTTAGATTATATTGAGCTATAACAGTTAACGTTGCTAGAGTACATGATAAAATTTCAAATCACTCTCCTAGAAACAGCACCTTTTAAAACTCTCTTGGCAATTGAATACGACTTGGCAATTACAAATATGTGCTGGATTTCATATATGAAATCCATAAACTCAATGCAATATTTTTTTATTTGGCGATGTCAATAGATGTTAGAAGAATGAGATTACAAATTTTTCTCTTTAACTTCATCATACATTAACTCAATTTAGCTTTGTGATTTGTTCCGTTTGTCTCATCTTCATGATAAAGTCACTTGCAAGTTCTAGCTCTTCCAATGGACTCATGATTTTGCTCAATTTCTCTATGATATCAAATAGCGCCGAGTCATTAAGGAGTGTTCATATAAGGTTCCTTTGACATTACACTCAAATCAAACGATTAGGAAGTCAATATTCTTAAGTACGCACCTCCCGGGGTTCAAAGTGCGTATTTAACCGGGAGACTACTGTACCTTGACAACATGTGAGTAATAATTGGGTGTGTCAGCACTCTTGGTCACACATCCACGACCGCCATCACTTCGAGAAGGTCGGTTACCGCAGACAAAACTGCTGCTCCGACTGCACGCTTGAAGCCTTGGTCTCCTTGGACCAATCTTCGTCATTGTTTGACAATTTAGACCTCCCATCAGGTGCTACATCGCATCGTTGATCGAGCTACCGTCAGTTGGGTATGGCTCGGAATTGATCGATAGAGGTCGGTAGATCGAGGGAGTTATCTCGCTTCCATTGGACTTGTTCGTGTCGCACCGATTCTTGCGTTGCTGCCTGCTGGACCGCACTCTTCATCATCTCATCCGGCAGAGAAACTCGGACACTTCTTCATCATGACGCAACTTACATCAAAGGTAACCGAGTCCTCTACAGATCAATTCCCACAATCCCAATCCCAATTACTCGAAATAGCATTGGAAAGGTACAATTGTCATAACTAATAATACTTTTGAGCTATTGAGGTCTACCACGATACCTACCACAGTAGCAATGAAATACAGTAAGCATAATCTCTGTCCTTGGAGCAGGAAATATGCTCCTGGAACATTATTCAAAAAAAATTTAAATTATCTATTGTAACACATGGCAATATGTTATTTTTTGTGTATTCCACTTATTAATCCTTCTAAAAATTCGAGTTCGTCAACTCCGAGTTTCTTTATTTCTTGAATCTTTCATACATGGAATTCAGGAGCTATAAATTTTATTTAACTATACTTTTGGATAAGGTTTGATATTTCTAATGTCGTGATTACTCAAGATTTCTAATGTATTTTAATTGATATAATTTCCAGTTAACCTAGCAGATTGAAATGCCACAAATTATTTTGTAATTTATATGTTTCTCTTCATGCAAGTTTGGAGCAACAAGAGTCTTACATTTGCTCTCATATTTCAGTTTTCAGAATCGTGAAGTGATTTTCAGATTGAAAATAACTCCAGAAATCAAGAGTTATAACAATAAAATTACAAAAGAACGACGGAAAAGTCATAAAGTTCATACTCATCTCTTTGAAAAATGGCATTTGTATTAAGAATATTTTACAATAGTTGCTTCAGAATTAAGAAAAGCAAAATAGCACAAGATACAAAATCAACTTCATGTGAATTCTATGCTTGTTTATTGTGAACAATATTAACTACTTGCATGAATCTCTAGTCCTTACGTCATATTATTGCTAAGTATAGAATTGGATCTCATAGGCTTGAAATTGAAAAAGCACGTTGGGTTAATATTGATAGTAGTGAACGTATCTGTAAATTATGTGAAGGTGTATACATTGAATATGAAGAGCATGTATTTGTTATTCGTTCTAGGTAGGAAGACATTAGGCTTGCTCATAATATAGATGTGAAGAATTTATATTATTTATTATAATTAATTATTTCTGATTTAGGTTGTTATATTAGGGACATTATTAATTACCGTTCTAGTGCTCTTGGCACTAGCTAGTGATTGGTCTTTGGGGTCTTTTCACTTGTTTGTGATTTTCACTTGTATTGTGTTTTTCAACCTTTTGACTCTTTGGGTCCCCCGAGCTTGGTCTTTTACCATTTACCATTATCAACAACTAAAAGAAAACATGTCACTCGAATCTTGAAAGACATCCTAACGTTGCACATACGCAGCAATTGGCCTCTTTGATCGAATAATAGTTTGCCCTCGTGCATGTATAGTGCTAATTCCATAACATAGACGAGAAGATGGAGGCCTTGATATCTAAGAACATAACCGCCGGTCCTTGTACTGGGGATGAAACCCAAATGAACGCCTCGGAAGCTTGAGGTCCAAATCTGGTCTTTGTGAGATTTATGGAGACCTTCCATCATGATGATGCACCGCCTCGGTCATAAATCCCAGTCATACAAGTGGCTCTCGTCTCGGCAGCGGTGGTGAAAAAGTATGTGCGACTGCGATGGTCCCAGTAACAACCTGGAAAATGAATGAAAGCCTCAAGAATCAGAAAAATCAACGCTTTCATTTGCCTTTCTTGCTGCAAACATGGAAAGGAAAGGCCTTCATACTCCACATGTAACATGTGGATACTGAAGGATTACAATGAATAATAATGTTACCGGATTGGATGTCAGCATGATGACCAGCAAATGCCTTAATAAAGACCACTTGACTTAGGAGCAAACCAAGTCTTCGGCCTTTCGATCTTTTGTCAGATATTTTTCATAATCTTAAGAGTGGGTTGATCTGTTGGATCCGCTTCGAGAGGGACATTCGTCCCACTTGAAGCTGGGATAGAATGAGTCACGCAGTCGACACCTTGACAATTTCAGCACACCGTTGGGACCTTGGGGAGAGGGCTGGTCATAGTTGGGACATGATGATTTGGAGAAGCGACCAAGTGAGCTGTAGCAGCCCAAGGCTCCAAGCTGTCCGCCTTTCATTTAACTTGCAAGTAGGAGTCTTGTGTGGCTCACATTTTGTAGGCTGCTTCAAAACATTTGGCACGTCCGGCATTCTCCAGTACGTAAGTAAAGTATCATAGCTGCATATCTGATTGACCAAGCAGATCAGACCATGTCGAAGTCTCCTGGTCTTGATCTTGAGGACTTTTGGCACGCCACGACACGGCCTGCGACTATTCTTTCCGACGTCGCACGAGCTTTGCCCATGGCTCCCATTCGTTCCTAGTGTAAGTTCACTTCTTGTCCTTTTGCCATAGCAGAGAAGATCAGGATAATGAGAGTCGGTATGATTCGAGCTACAATGCTTGTAACCGACTGTTAACATGCTTCAAGGCTCGAGCTGAAGAGGTTGCTCGGTCATGCACAAGCAGAACAGTAGGATTCGCATCTCACGACTGGATAATGATCTTATGTTGAGATTCAAACAAGACCATGGACACTTACTGCTAAAATAGTGAATTTATTGTTCGAAGTAACGTATGCACATGTCGAGGGAAGAGGCAGATGCCTCTGTTGCTCTCCCCTCATTTCTTCTGAATAAAAGATCGTCGTAGCTACATCATGTACCGTCAGTGGTCTCTGTTATGTATTTTGCACAAACAAATTATGTGAAAAGGTTCATCACGAAATGGAATTTCGCTGCATGGAACGGCATCGCTGTTTTAAGACCTCGAGAGGATATATTCCGAAACCAGACATTGGTGAATGTCCGTCTGTTGTACGTCCTCGGGCCTGTACCTGATTCATATGGGAACTGGTTCAGGCATGTAATCGTGGCAAATTAGAGTTAATTCTTGTGGCCTTACACGGTCCTGTGGAACGGCTTGTGGTGGCAACTCTCGTGCCCAGTCCCAAGGGGCTAACTGATTCCACACTCTGATATGGTGCTTCATGTGCAGGCAGACCTATGGTACATTCTCCACCGAAGGACGATGGCCGATGGAGCCCACCACAACACGTATGTTGAGCTTAACGACCAGCCACGAATCAAGAAGCCACGCCAGCTGCAGGCCCCATGAAAGAAATCGCGCAGAATGTCACAAGAGCTTTCGCTTGTTTCCCCGGCCCAGGATGAAGGAGCTCACAACTTGTGCAAGGCGGTGGGCAATACAGACGCCACAATGCTGATCGAGCTCGGGAGCTTACCTTTCTAGCTTTCGACCGTGGCCTGCGATAGAGCCCACGTCGCGGCGTCTCCGCACAAACGAACATGATTGATGTTGACCCGTCGAAGGAGGTTTCGTGATCCAGCCGTAGCCGTTTTTTGCATTTCAGGAAGTTGGTTTCGGCCCCCGACTCGTGGCTTCCTTCTAGCTCACGGTTGAGATCATGACGGACGTCAGCAGAATTTCCCTCGGCCGCAATAACCACTAAAGGGAACGGGCCCACGCACAGAGATTCTGCGGCTGAAGGAAAAAGAAAGAGTGACAAAAAGCTGAACCCACTCGCAATGTCCTCATCATCATACTCATCAGACGCAGAAGGAGAACGAAGTTCAGCAAGTCCAAAGTTTGAGCAAACCGGGAGAGAACCGAAATACTGCCATCGAGAGATGAGAGAATGAGTGAGTGAGTGTACAGATCAAACCCCTGCTGGGAATTTCAATTATCGGCTGAGCATTTCACAAGTGGAGCCAGATTGTTCTACCCTGACGGAGCCACCGATCTGTTCTGTACAGATTCAGATGAAGTCTGCCCGGTCGGTAGAACATAGCTCCGTGATAAAAAGAAAATTCGTCCGCCCAGAAATCACCGGCAACACGACTAACATACACAGCAATAGATGGATGAGGTTTCACGAGTGAAGATCCAAGACAAATACTTGGAATGGACCTCATCGTTTCTGAGAGTAGATGCCTATTCACGTCTGATATTAACATTTTCTGGATGGGATCAGAATCACCAAAACACCTCGCTGATTAAATCGGAGGACTGGATTGTCAAACCCAGCCCGAGGATTCGTGTGCCGATACCCGAGAGAAGAAGAAGAAGAAGAAGAAGAAGATTGGGTGAGCCATTGAATCCTTGAATCGAGCCCTGGCTCTGGTCGCGCTAAACCCTTCCGTGGCCCACCCACACTGCACTTGCACAGCACTGCACTACATTTCGACTCTATCCTTCGGAGGAAGGTGCTATGAACATTCCGTTGCAGCAAACCAGAACAGGGACAGACTTTGCCGCAAATCATGGTAGATTTCGAACAATCTACAAGCCTGGTAGCTCGACGACCGGCTCGATGAATCTCGCAGAGTTGTCAAGCAAGCCAGTCCGCTCGTGCCAGTTAATGGTCCGGAGATACTGCACTCGTTCGCTCTCCTTCCATCCTTTCATCAATCCAATTATCCCTCAGGGCCCCGACTTCGAGCGCGGAAGCAAAAAATCAACCAGCCAGATCAACCAGCCAGACTCCGTCTGCGTGTCGTCGAGTTCTCAAGCAACACATCTACTCACAGCCAGCCAGCCTCGGCGCGTATTTACAGCCATGACATTGGACCTGTCAGTCAGGAATTCGGGGGAGAATCCATCGAGAAAATGCGGCCCCTGCTCAGCTGATCCATCCGGAACGAGAACATGGACCGCCCGCCCGAGAGGGACCGCTTCAGCGTGAACGGGCTGCGGAAGGATTTGGAGCGCCCGCGCGCGGACGAGCTCTTGATGGACGCCTCGGCCTTCTCGAGGTCGAGGCTGCTGTCGAGGCTGCCGAGGGCGCCCGGGGGCGGCGCGCCGTCGCGGCTCCGCGAGCTCGGCCCCGCGCCGTCCGCGCCCGCTTTGGTGCGCTCGCTCGTGGGCGTGTCCGACGAGAGGACGGACCGCGTCGAGGCGGGAGTGGCGCCGAAGAACTCCGGCGGGCTCTTGCTCTGCGTCGAGCGGAATTCGTCGAGATCCAGGAACTCCAGCGCGCGCACGTGCCGGCGCGACGCGCCCATGGAGTAGGACCGCACCACCAGCGCGAAGGGATTCTTGCGGAACGACGGGCGCCGCGGCGGAATGTGCCACTTGTGGTCGCGGTCGCGCGATCGGCTGTGCGACGATTCCTTGCAGCTGGCCGTGCGCGTAAGCGGCCCCAGCTGCCCCATGGGCGTCGAGAAGCCCGGGGCGCCGCGACTCTCACTGCCCGAGTTGCGATTCGAATTGGCCAAGCCGGCGTCGCGCGAGTCGAAGAAGCGCCGAGAGTCATCTCCTGAGTCGATGGACAGCACGCCATCGCGCGACGCGCCGCCGTCGCGCGCCGTGTTGGGGATCCAGATCGAGTGCGCGTCCTCGTAATTCAGCAGCCCTCGGAGCGTGGGCGAGGCCGACATGCGCTCGTGGCCCAACGGCCCGAAGCGCACGCCGTCGCCCAGCGTGAACTCCATGCGCTCGGTGCCAGGCGGGGTCTGCATCTCAGCCCCGAATGCGCCGTGGAGCGACTGGCGGATTTGGTCCTCGGGGAAGATGGGCGCTCGGCACAGAGGGCAAGTGGAGTGCGTGCTGAGCCAGGTATCGATGCAGGCGACGTGGAAGGCGTGGGCGCACTTGGGCAGCAGGCGCAATTCCTGGTGGTCGAGGAATTCCGAGAGGCAGACGGGGCAATCGGTGTCGGCGGTGAACGCGTCGCCCGTCTTGAACACGAAGAAGGGGATCTTCTTGATCAGGGATTGCTCGAGCCCGTGCGTGGTGAGCGGCGACACATTGGCGTCGCTGTCCATGCCCGTGGGCTGGCCCTCGAGCTCGAAGATATCCCGGCGGTTCTGCCATCGCGTGCACAGCTTGGCGAAGATCCGATAGTAGCTCACGACGAGGAATGCCGAGCCCAGCACGGCGATGATGGACACCACGGCCGGGCTGAAGGCGGTCTTGCCCCCGCTGTTGTTGTTGCTGCTGCTGCTGGCGTGCACCACGGGCGCGGGCGGGATGTAGCCCGGCGGTGGCATTAGATCGACCATGATTCGCTTGTGGGGTGTGTGCCTCGGGCGACGGGGGATTAGCGCTGCCGGACTAACATAATAATCATCATCATCATCGGTGCCTAGTCACTCTCTCGTCGGTGCCTGCAAGGCCGCCCTCGCAGCTCGAGCTCGAGCATCCTCTGTCCATGTGTCCGTAGCTGCATCGACTCCAGGACGAATACGAGCGCTTCTCAAGCCTGCACCCTCACCACTGTGTACAAATCTAGCATCGCGCTGGGTTCAATTCTTCTGTTGCTGCTGCTGCTGCTCGCTCACTCGCTCACTCGCTCGCCTGCCTTCCTGTCTTCCTGCCTGCCCGCCTGCCTGCCGGCGTCTGAAAGTGTCCGTGAGCCTCTGCCTGATGGTGCGGCAAGCTCAACCCAAAACCATGACATGACATTCCAGCACCTACAACTCGATTCCGCAAGCTTTCTTCATTCGGATCATCATCGCCTCAGGCCCGGCCCGCCATGCCTCCCCCTGTGCGAGCAATCAACACGCTGCGAGCGAGAGTGTGCGGATCCACGGTGTACACAATTCGGGCGAGAGCCGTGCGGAGGCAGCGACAGCGGGAAGCAGGATCAACCAACGAATGCCTGGGGATCATAGCCATGATGATGGAGGAGGACTCCCTCGCTCGCTCGCGAGGCTTCTCCTCTCGAAAGAGGATGACGATAAAAGTCCCGAGCGATGACGCTACCGACGCTACCGGTCTCGCTCTCCTCCCGCGCTCGTTCCAATGTGCATACTGCTCGTGGCAGGACGCCCCCGGACAAAGTACGCTCTGCAAGTGGGCACCGATTCCGATTGTCAGTCAGTCGGTCAGTCAGTGAGCTCGCTCTCGACCCTCCGCAACACTTAATTCCGCTGTCGTTCGCCGAAGGCGCAGCGAGTTTCGCGCAAGCGCACCCTGTCCCGGCTCGCCACTCGAAGCCCCCTCTCCCCCTCCCCCCTCACCGTCTCTCCCCTCCCTTTGGATGGTAGTCGCAATAGGCCATCGAGCCCGCCACCGATCTCTAATACCGGCCCTCGCCTGTCCCCTTCCTCCCTCGCCGTCTCGCTCTCTCGCTCTCCAAGGGCCGCCCAGAATAGATTTAGAGCCGTAGCCCCGCGCGGACAAAACCCGGCCGAAAAGTCGCCGGCCGCCGAGGAGAGGAGGCCGGCTTTCCCGTCGCCGAGGACCGTCCTCCCGTGATAGAAAGACAGGGCAGGTGTGAGCGAAGTCAAAACCGTCCCCCCGCCCCTCGTGCCCAATTTCGCCGTCCGTCCGCGACTCCGCCCCTGCCGGACGGAGGGGGCCCGTTCCGTCGTATGTGAGGAGGTGCCCGTCTTTGTACGGTTGGAGTGATGTGTGGCTGGACCGGCGCATGGAGTTCTCGAAGAGCACTGTGTTAGAAGCTCTCCGACAGTAGGCCGACAGTGTGAGCTTGCCGGTATATTAATTTGCAGTTTTATCACGTGCTGGATTTAGCTAGGACACTCTCCCTGGCCCATGCCTGGGTTCGAAGCTCAGCGGTCGAGTTGAGTGATTGACATTTTCTCGGTCAAAAGATGAGTTCCAGACAAGGGCATTATTTTCAGAGCATGCCAACTTTCCATGATGCTGAGCACGAACTGTTCTCTCGCTGCATGCTCGTGAATATGAAGTTTGCCCTTCGGAGTTCGTCGTATTATTCTAATCTTGAACTTTGGGGTTCATGATTTCTCACACGAGACTCCATTCGACCAACGTGATGTGTACTGTTTGTTGCTCCGTCATTGTCTTGCAAGTCATGGTGACGATACACGAGATACATATATTGGAATGTCATTCGACCTCGAACTTCTGCATTAACTCATCAGTAGATAATTCTGAGGAGCCTGTCGGTCGCTCTGCTTCTTATGACTTTTTCTCCTCCTGCTTCTCTCGGTCTGACGGCATGCATGGAGGCAGGCAGATGCAATTAAGAACGTTTTTAAAATTCTGCTTGTGGTGGAGCACGGGTCTCTTGCAACTCATGTTGCTCATGGTGCAAGGCTAAAGCGAATTAGCTAAATAAGTCTTGCGACAAAAGAGAACCAAAAGCGTCTCTTGTGGACAGAGTCAATCAATTTCCTTGCTGCTTAATGGCATTGGATAAACGTATACATCTGGGTGTAGGTCAATGCTTCCTTTGTGTGATTTTTATTATTTTATATTTGATTTCTGATATCAAAGCCGGAGGAAACGGATCCGCAAGCAATAAAAGACACATGAAATATCGTCTACAAGATTACACAAGAAAGACCTATAAAAGGTCAAAAATATACCGAAACTTTCGTGATGAATCACTTTTCTCCGATGTGACTCGAATGGAGAACTCATATGGTCAATGCAAGTCATGAATCGAATCAATTTACCTCCCAGTTCGTAGAGACAACCGCATGACATAATGCAAGGCAAATGATTTTATAATATTAATTAAAGCTATATTGCAGAATTTACTGTGAAACCATACTCTATCATAATAAAGTAGAGCATAGTATGTGACACGATGATCGTCTTGAGCCAGAAATTGAATATTTTGCAAAATTTCACAGTCACTTGTTACATTATCTGTTGAAAGTTTATCCAAGGACTGAAAGCACTGCATTGTTAGACAAGTGATGATATTAGACTTCTCTCTAAATGTAATCTCATCAATGAATCCACTTTCATCTTCTAAATGTATCCTCTATAAGTAAAAAACTTCAATCACCAAATTTACAAACCTTGGACTTACTAACAGGTAATATAACAGAATCTAGTGCAGATCGCAGGTTTTCATATATTGCAAAATCACCTTCTGTTTTGAAGTCTCTTTGGTAACGTTGTTGACTTGGATAACTCTTACTAACTCTATAATAGTGCTTGTAAAGTTTGTATGTATATACAGAAGCTGAACTCTCGATTCTTCCAATCTCTATGCCAATTGAAATAACCGAGAATTTGTGTAACGAAAAATTGAGAATATCAATCCTAAAGATCTTTAACGGATTAGAAACCTATACAAGCGGAACTGAGGAGGTTGCTTTACAAGGTGTTGCCCTCGGGGAGAGTACTGTCCTTAACTGTATCATTGATATGCTTACTTCCAATATATCAATTAATTTTTCGACCAGCGAATTTGGTGTTTAAGTGATGAATAACTTAATCCATGCGGCGGAAATCCACACCAATATGGTCAGATTCCCGTCATTCAAACCTGTCGGATTGGAGACAGCTTAAGATAGACCAGGCAAGTAGATGAATTAATAAGGCCATGGTGGACCCCTGTTCCATGAGAAAAATCGGTCGTCGGCCAGCAGTTGACACTAAACGGCCACTTTCCTCGGGGCCGGGCAGCTTCCTTCCAGGCCGTGCTCATTCCGTACAGAATTGGCATGTTCTAAACTCCAATTTTGGCATATATTAATTAGTTGGCAAGTGTGTGACAAGGGGAATCTTCGTGGGAAGTCTCCACGATCTCTTAATCTACATTTGTTACCGTGTTGAACCAGCTAGATGGTTGCAAATTGCAGCCACAGTCGTGATTGAGGCTCGAAGCTGATCATCCAATAACTTGGATGATCTCACAGTCCATCGAAATGTCCTGTGGAACTTTGATAGAACTTCCCATACCTGAGGGTTATGTATTTCAGATTGAATATATAAATTGTATAGTCATTGCTTAAACAATTTCATATCTTTTGAGAGAATTTCGCGAGAATAAAAACCAGAAGGCTTTTATCACCTAGATAGGGCCTCATGATCAATACAATGAGGCGCAAGAAATATTTTATGGTCCATTCCATGATTCGAAGACAGCGCATGTCATGTCAAGAATATCATATTATTTTCGAGACATATTTAAGTTTTATAAATAAATAAGAGATCCAAAGGGTGTTAAAGGACATTTAAATGATGAAAACAAAAGACTTGTGAATAACGTTCCTCCTTTATTGGAAAAGCATTTACTGAAAATCTGATTTTTTGTGCTACATTATATGCATGCCAATAAAAAATAACAGAATATAAAACGTATGAAAGATAAATTCACAAATACTGAAATTTAATAGACCATGCAATAATGTTCTAATTTATCTAAATTTTTTTCTTTTGAGACTGAAAATAGATTAAAAATATATATAAGATTATATGAACTAATTTTCCAATGATAAAGTCAATTAAGTCAATGATGTGTATTCACTGATTGAAATAACTAATAGGTATCCTTTATTAATAATAAGAAATTAATATTTTTTAATATTAAATTTTTAACCTGATAGAAAAGTGATAATATAATTTTTTCCTTTTTTTCTATATAAATAAATTTCAAGAATTATGAAAAAAAAATTCACAATGGGTTTGATTAATTGATGTCAAGTGTATATAATCGTAAAAGTGAAATGTTTTAGGTGAGAAAAACTTTCATGCATCCAAATATAGTATGGAGTAGGAAAAATATCTCAAAGTAAATGTTAATAGATCAAGCCGGGCGAACCAAAGTCTGAAAAACACAATACAAGATAAAAATCACAAACAAGAGAAAATACCCCCAAAATCAATCCCTAGGATACAAGTATCAAACGTACTATTATAAATAAGTACAATCTTGAAATCTAATCAAAATACTTTCAGCACGTAACATAATTATAACGTGCAACAAATTTATATAATATGGAAAAAATATTACACCCTAAAACTTTCATTTAAAAATATTTATTTATAATTACAATGCAAAAAACTCATGAATATATAGTGATATGAATTCAGATGTTTTTTATATGAGAATATATTTTTTTGAGCTAGCGAAAGAGATTTCCATTCGAATTCGATTTTAATTAAGTAATATTGATATCTTAAAACCTTATATTTGAAAGAGTTATTATAAACGTAAATGATATTATGAGACATAAGTAATAATCTGTTCAATTTCTGAAAAAGTATTTGAACTGACTGAGTTGAATCAGGTCATGATGATGAATTGGATTATCTTTATTTGTTGGTGAAAGTTTAGTTCTTGCTTTTCCAAAAAACCTCAAACAATTCAATACAAAAATCAACGAAATACGCTGATAAAACCCTGCATCATGTATCAAAAGAGGATGCATTAAACAAAGAGATTAAAAAACTCAGTGAGTACTTTGGTCTGCTCGATGTGAACTCTTTCAAACTGTGAGAAAGTAACTGAATGTTGCAGATTTGCCTTCAGACCTTCAAGAGCTTCATTAATCACTTTAAAGAAAGTGAAAAATTTTCCAAGGACCAGCCCCTTACTCCACACGAGCACCACCCACACACTCAAACCAGGAGTACGCGAATGAAATCCATAAGGCAGCAAAGGGTAACCCTCCACAGTGTACGAAACATATTTGTGTGCCTTCCAGATACAAGCGGTTGGGTGAGAGGGTGTACGTTGGCGGTGTTGGACCTGTGCAAACAATCGAAGGGCTCGAGGAGTGTTGCCCATAAAGTTAATTTTCACGAGGGGTTACGGACGGTAGCATGAGTTCCAACGAATTCTGCTTTACATGGAACAGGTGACATGGATAGGAATGCCACGGGGAGGCTGGAGATGGAAGCTGACATGTTTACAGAACCCTTTTCTGACTTCTCAACAAACCCCGATTACTTTACAGTAAATTTGTTTGACTTAGTTGAGGTCGAGGTGGAGGTCGGTCCGCTATGTCTGTGACTCGTGACCCTGCGCAGCTCAAGCTCATCGGGCCCCTTTTGACGTGAGCCTATCATTCACTTGAAAGTGATGCCGAGCAGATCCACAACTTCCACCACCGCGCTCGTGGAGTTTTCTAATGATTAATTGGATCGCCCTCTGGCCCTCTGGCTCTTCCACGGGCTTGGAAGCATTGTATCTTCCACAACCGGAAACCACTTCCCGCTGCAGGCAACCCGGAATGTGCTCACGTTGTCATTCTCCTTCTCATTGTGGCCTACATTCTATGGCAGCTGCAAAAAGCTCAAGAGGAGGTTTGGACACTTGGTGGAGTAGCTTCCAGGAGCACAAGCTTGCATGATTAATTTTCGAGGGACTTTCGATCCACTCATCTTAAACAGGGTGGAGGGAAGAGGATAAGAGCGGAGAGAATCATCAGAGAGTCCAGGACGGAAGAGTCTGACTGAAGCAGAGGATAGTGTCACGCGTAAATTGCAAACTGGAGATCATGGAAGTCCGGTGGGCAGAACAAGGGAATCTGTGTATGTGTGCTATCTCAGTTGGATATATTCAGACCTGGAGGTTACTGTCAAAATAATGTCTTCTGCCTTTGCGCTCGAGGGCAACTTTACAGGAGCACCAGTAAGTTGGTGTCCAAGTATTAATGCTACCACTGCAGCACTCCCTCGGGTGACCGCAAGAGACATTCTGGACGTTTCCTCGGGTTGACCTTCACATGAAGGATGCGATCTAATCCAATTCTGTGCTTTGATGGACACACATTCTCAGACACACTGTAGGCAGAAGATCTGCTAGTGGCATCCCTTACGGAGGCGTTTGATCATGGAAAAATCTAACCTCGAACCCGAACTGTGTAGATGGCAGATATTCATGTGGCGGAACCTGGAACTCATTAAGTGCCTTTGTTCTTATCACAGGGGACATCGGTTGAGTGGAACCAACAAATATTCCGACTTTTAGAAAAGTCTCCTCCACTCCACTTCACTCCACTCCATTCCAGAATGTTTACGGGCGAGGGTTGAAATATGCCTTTTTGGGGCTACGTCATTTGGGACGGCAAAGTCAAACGGCGCAGGAAGAATAGGTTCGTAGGATCCCGGGTTGATGCTGTGCTGCCTGCTTTTGACTTGCCCCCTCTCATTCTCATAGATTTGCTTCTCTTTGTCCAGCAGTGCATGCACCGTCATGACCCTTCCTGTGACAGAATCCATCTGGTGATATTCCAGCCTCCTTCCGAAATTCCGTCTTGTGGCAGACCTACCTGCACGTTTTCTCCCGTTTCGCCCTTTGACATTGTTTCGTTTCTCGGTCATCCACATGTGACACAGCGTACTACTGTGGTACTTTCTACCTCCGAGAATTCTGCACGCCTTGAGTTTCCATGTGTTCCTTTCCCCTTCCCTCCCCGGCTTTTGCTTGCAGCTCGAACGTTTCGGTCTACTCGAGCATGTTCAGCATTCATCACGCTAAAGCTGATCGCATGAAACACTTAGGTTCCCTCTCCCCCCAGCCTTGTGGTAAGTCTCCGGTGACTTGAAACCTCATATGCATGCGATTTGCACGAATCGAGGGAGTTACGAGGACTGGGATTTGTTGGCGGCGAGGTTTCTGTCCATGTTGGCCACTATGGTTTCTTCCCCAGAGCACAACGAGCGAAAGTCAACCATCCCAACTTGCCGTGCCGTGTGGGTGAGGAATATATATATATAGAGGAAGATAATACTTTAAGAAGTCCCGGATACATACTTCTTGTGAAACACGGCGAGGAGGACTGCTGGCTTTGTAAAAAGAAAGCTGGGGCTAACTACCATGTTAGACGGTCACCATGTTTTTTCTGCTGTCTGCGTCCATTGCAAATACAGTAGTCTCCGGGTCAAGACGCACCCGTTTAGGTACGCATCCAAGTTAAGTACGCATTTTTTTGCACAAAAATAGGGTTCAACCCATGACATGTCGTTCATTTGGTTTATGGTAAAAAATTGTTACTCCTCCTAGTGGTTGTCTCATATCTGATTAGAAACGTGAACCTCTAGTGGCTCATATATACTCGTTCAACATTAGGGACAAACTCTGTAGTAGAGAAAAAAGCAAGCCACTATCCCGAAATGAAGAAAATAATATATCATCTTTTTGAGGTTTTAGATTATATTGGACTATAACAGTTAACGTTGCTAGAGTTCATGATAAAATTTCAAATCATTCTCCTAGGAGCAACACCTTTTACAGCTCACTTGGCAATTACAAATATGTGTTGGAGTCCATATATGAAATCAATAAACTCAATGCAATATTTTTTTATTTGGCGGTGTCAATAGATGTTAGAAGAGTGAGATTACAAAGTCTTCTCTTTAACTTCATCATACATTAACTCAATTTAGCTTTGTGATTTGTTACGTTTGTCTCATCTTCATGATCAAGTCATTTGCAAGTTCGAGCTCTTACAATGGAATCATGATTTTGCTCAGTTTCTCTATGATATCAAATAGCGCCGAGTCATTTAGGAGTGTTCATATAAGGTTCCTTTGACATTACACTCAAATCAAACGATTAGGAAGTCAATATTCTTAAGTACGCACCTCCCGGTTAAATACGCACAGCACTCGCGGGTTCAAAGTGCGTACTTAACCGGGAGACTACTGTACTTGTCTGCTCTCCATTCGATTGAAGAAGGGTCTGACCTCTTCCCATTTCTCCCATTTGAGTAATAAACTAACCACCATGAGTTCTATGAAGCTAAATGTCTGCATCAGATTCTAATACAAGTCCTTGTAAGCAATCGTCAACATCGACTTTCTGCAGGAAGATTCCTTGGCATTGTCAATCGCACATGATAGAAAAGATTATGGGCACCATGGGTGAACGCTTGCAGCCGATGCCATGGTATTCCTGGACTGCTCAGCGATTTCTGCAAATGCAGCTAGCCTTTGCAGTTTGTAGATGATGGTAAAATTGAGAGTACCCATTAGTCTATCAGCAATTGCCATCGTGGTACAGAGCGAGTCGAGTCCAATTGTCAAGGGGAGTCGAGGTGGGTGGGAATGGCATAATAAGAAAACAATTTATAATCTCATTAATCGCATATGGTTCACGAAAGTCTCAAAAAACACGGGTTAAGGAGACTGTAACGTATTCTCATTTCATGAAAAAGTGAGAATCTGAGATGGGGCATTGGCAGGACGTGAGTTGTAGTTTGGTAGTTGAAGCGTAATCGTATATACCTCAGTGGTTGGACTCGCTTTTCATGACCCGAGAGTTCATAAACTCATTCTGGTCCTGGATAATTTCGGCATCCTTCCAAGTGATATTTCAACACCGAATAATAGAACCATCTCCATCTGCCTTGATCGTCCTTGTGAGAAGGTTGAAATGTGCTAGGATAGTGCGTCACGCTCGTTTCTTGACACAGCTGTGGTGGATGATGTGTGCATTTCTTTTCTTTTCTTTTCTTCTCTTCTCTTCTCTTTTGACCCATCCTGAATCAGTCTGGTCAATGAAACCGTGGGGGAGACGGGAAAAGGGAGAGAAAGATTGCGGACTTTGTTTCTACATCTGCCTAATATTGGAAGGGTCCCGCGCTCTTCGAAGGCACCTCAGAACAGATTATTGTCAAAGTCTTGTAAAGAGATGGCTACATTTTGACTCCTCAAGACCGCCGACCTCCGAGTAGGGAGTGAATATTACCTCAGCAGTTCGTCTAAAGCGATGGATGGTCCCAAATGGGATTCATTAAGCTGATCAGAAACATGTCAAGGGATTCCACAAGACAACGGAAACATGTCAAGGGAAAATCTCATCCATGTGGAGGACCCCTTTGAGTCGGCCGGCCACATAAGTCTAACACGAAGATCAGGAACAGAGAGGTTGTCGAGTCTTCTCGATGAGCACGAGCTTTTCTTATGATCCACAATAGAGGCTCTTACTTTTAGCTATATGAATTTTATATTAGACCCTAGTTCCTGCCTTCGACGAGCTGCAAATTTATATCCCCGTTCGCATGCTTGAGATGTAGGAAATATCGTGTCGGTACTGCAGTGGGCCGAGCAAAAGAAGCGACCACTCGGTCCAGCAACAAGACAGACATCCCGTGAACAATCCAGAATCAGCCATGACCGAGATAAGCGGGTCCACCATCCAAACCTTTAAGCTGTTACAGTATCAAAGCAGACTGTTTGCCAAAATTTACAGCTCGATTGACTTCCTTAAAGATTTAATCATTATGCCCAAGAACAATTTGGAGCGCCAATTCTGCACCTCAGCTCATCGGAACACCGGAACCGATCACGGCTTCCACTTGGGATTCTGAGCTTGCTTGGGATGGGATGGGATGGTATCGTATGGTATCTACCGAGTATTCCGAAACACGGATCGAGGCATCTCTGCGGGATACGTAATGGTATTGAGTGGAGAGGCGAGCGGCCGAGCTCCTAGAACAGCACCGAGAACATGTAGCTACAGCGCAATCCTTGTCGTTAGCAAGGGCGCACTCACAACTTCTGCACGACTGTGGAACAGGTCCGCGCTGTGCTTGTTACACCAGAGGGATCATGACAGACTCGAAGGCAGGCCAATGTGGAAAATACCAGTGCTGCATGCCGACTTGTCGGCCCAGCTCAATTGATCAGAATCAGTATCAGTCTGGGACGTGCTTCGAAACAAGAGAATGGAACCTGTTGGGATATGCTTGTGGCAAATCGTTCCTCCCGGCGAACGAGCCGAGGCGGCCTTTCGCAAGGCGGGCAGTGGTGACTACAGGCGAAGGGCGGGCACCTGGAGGGGGATGGATCCTGTGTAGAACTGTGCAGAGGACATCTCACACTCGGGTCAAAGTACGAGCGGGTAACTACTTCGGGCTTCCTGAAACCTCCGCCAAACAAGTGACGAATCGTCCACGTGCAAAGTACGATTCGCCACTGGCGAGAATGTACGCTTTCACGCACACTCGATTGATTCTCCTGTGGCGCTGATGCAGTGTCAGATGTCCAACTCACCACTCGCGACCTTCTGCTGCTGCTCAGTCCTCGATGGTGAACGAAAGGACAACGTTGGTGCTGCTTTCTGGCTGGATGGACAGAGCCCGAGCTGCTAATTTAGCAACCTTCGTAAAGGGGATAAGCGAACGACAAACAAAGATCGTGATCGCATCAGTCGACAGATGGAGGGGCTTGACATCTGGTGGATTCTATTAACTCGAGTGACGGTGGGTGTTTGCAGCTCATCAGAGCTCCTTGGGCTGTGCGCGAGTCGGGAGATTATCCACAGGCCTCGTGGAAAATTAGAACTCGTGGAGCTGAAACTTCTCGTCCTGAAAATGGTGCTGCTTATCAAACAAACCTTTTCTTGTTAAGAACTTTGCTGCAAGTTCGTTGATTCTGAAAGGCTGGATAAAGGTGGTCGCTACATGACGGAAACAAGGTCTGGTGATCACCGCCGAGGTTTCGTTTCTTTCCGCCATGGAGCTCGATGAGTCCGTAGCCTGCGTGGTGAAGAAAGTGTTCCATCTCTGGAGACGCCTCACGACAATGTGGGGGCAAAGGGCGTGAGCATTTCGTTTGTCCCACGCGGATCAGATCAGGCTCGGACCCTGGGAGGGTCCTCGTCCCACGGTTATCGGGTCTGAGCCTCTGAGCCTCTGAGCCTCTGAGCTTCTGAGGATTGGGGCCGGCGGTGAAAGGCTTTGGACGTGTCAAACTCCATTTCCAGGGCCCGTCCATGCCCGATCCATCCATGGCCGCCCTGGGAGCTGTGAAAGCACAATCTTTTGACCGGATCGGACGGAACAGCAAACGAAAGATGAGAGAGAGCCGAGAGCCAGTCCGCTGGCAAGCCACTGAAGATCATCATAGTACAAATCTGCCTCTGTACATACACACAGTACATACAACATGTCGCAACAAGGAACAAGGACGAGGCAGAGAAGACACGAGGCCCCACATGCGAGGGCAGAGCAGAGCAGAGCCGCAAGAACCAAGAACTTTCTCACTGCAGGGGACGGGACGGGACGGGGCGGCAAAGGCAGGCATGTGCAGGAAGCGAGAGTTCAGATGGGGAGTAAGGCTGGCAAGAGGTGTAAAATGTCTGGAGGCCGGAAGAATGAGGGTGCATGTAAGCTAGAGGATGTCCGAAGGACCGAGTTACGGAGGTTGTTACGTCGCCAGAGCATGAACGAGAGAGGAAATATGCCCGTCTCGCAGCTGGCACCTGCGCCTACCGCATCCACAATTGGCAACGATAGAGTCCAAGCGCAAATGTCGGCCGATTGGACGGCTGTGCCCACCCCCACCCTCTTCCTCTTCCTCTTCCTCTTTGCGGTCATGGATGGCGGCGTCCACTGGCCAATCCAGGTAACATGGAGGTTCCTTCCTCTTGTGTCTCTCTTGTCACTTCCGCCGGCTTCGAAGCATTATTACCTCCCTGACCTTTGTCTACTCCAAGCACGCAGCGCTACCTTTAGGTTGGTTGTTTCTATCATGACACTCCCTAGAGCTGTGGTGTTACTCGAGTGCCAACAAACTGTCGAAATTCGTCTGCGCCGAAGGGGCGTAAGCCCAACTTCACTTTTCACAAAGCAGTCTGCACTGTGGAGAGTTGTAAGCTTTTTAGAGATGGGCCTGCGAATTATTGGCAGGGTGATCTTCTTCCTGATAAACTTGGGGATGCGAACCTTGTTATCTGATTCCGGCACCCAAGGAAAAGGAGATACAATGCATCACATGGGTGAAACAGATGGCCCTATGTAGGCTTTGCACTGAGTCCCTGCTCGCTGTCTGAGCAGCAGCTAACGAGTGGAGAGAGAGAGAGATAGAGAGACAGACGCTTCCTTGAGCAGACGATGCCCCTAGGCCCATGTCCAGCCCTGTCTACAACGGATGCGGTATCGCTCGTGCCTCTGAAGATTTGGATGTGGACGTAGTTCAACGTCCAAGCTCCCAGTCAGACGAATCAAAGCATCGACTGGGTGCATGTGGATTCTCAGATGCAAAGGGGTTTTCTGTCCTGGATCGTTTTACGACGTCGGCCATTTGGAAGTTGTGATGCTCTTGCTGTCGATTACTCAGCCCCTGCTTTGCGACCACCATCCCCCCACGGGCTCTGCTGCTGCTGCTACTACTACTACAGCGCACAGGTACTAATGAAGATGGCACTCATCCATAGAATGCCTCGAACTCCTCAAACTCTCTCACTACTGTTCTCAGTGAGCTGCAGCGGTTCGTGAAACTATACTGGCCTCAAGGTTCTATTATCCTATAACGATGAATGAATATCTTTATCCTGACTCTTAAGGTCCGGTCCCACCTGCAATCTGAAAAGAACCGAAATTTGGGCTCTGGTACTGCGGATTCATTAGCTGGAGACACAACGAAATTCGCCCAAAATGGTGTCCCGTCCGTGTACCCGCCTGGGAAAATCTTGGATCGATGCCCCCGTGGATCTCAGTACTTGTGCCTACCAGCATTACATCAGTACTGGGATATTGGGTTCTGGTACAACAAATCCCCTGTCTGGACAAACAGCCGCAAATGCGATTCTTGTGCGATGTTACCGTTCTTCGAGAAGTCGTCCTTTCCTCAACTTCAGGGCTCAAAGTATTCATGACATCCAACAAACTGTATAATACTTACGAAGGGTGTTCTGTCATATGGTTTGTTCTTACGGTGCATGAATTTTATCCCGGCTGTGTTCATTCTCTCCAAACACTCAGTCCAGGATTTCATCAGATTCCGCTCGTGTATGGCCTTTATTTCTGACCCTCGAGCCCTGGCTGACACTTTTGCACAAAGTTACTGTCGACATCAGAGTCTCCTCTCTCATCTGCTTGTTTTGGAATCATCTGAAAAATCAGACACCGAGCTGCCAAGCCTCTTTTCCACTCGAACGCAGCGATGTGCAGACAGACAGAGCTGTGCTGCAGCGACACCTCTTGTGCCTCTGAATCAGACTGGTCGGCACGCTACGCAAGGAGGGCCCAACTGAAGCGCAGCGTGTGCAACCTGGCTTCAGTGTTGCGCCCAATTTCGAGGTGTGTCAGAGAGCATAGGCCGATGAGAGGTCTTGCTGTGCGCATGTTCTCTCACGAGGGGTGCTTCTCTCAGAGAACTACAGGACCCCCACGCATCGTGGGACCAGTGGGGTCTCTACTTCCGTCGAGTACTCGATGTCGAGTATCAACTTCCCAGAACGAGCCTGCTCTAAAGATTCAGATAGCCGATGTCTGAAGAAAAATCAACTCCACACGAACTTTCTAAAAATGCTTTTGAAAAGCTGCCGGTTTCCTAACTGATCAGAAGATAATAAATCGAGCACCTGTCACCACGGACGGGTGACAACAAACAGCTCCAGGCACATATCCTTGATGCTCCATGGACTGCTTGCATTCCTCCAGACAAGGTCTACAAATGAGGAAAACTTAGAAAAATCTGAAGGCGTAGCAACATCTCCTTACGGTCAGTCTCGAGGTCTTATCCCCAACAATCCTCTAAATATTCAGAACCGTTTACGTCCAGCTGGATGGGTGTCTCTTGAGTCGAGGCAGAACTATGGAGTATGCATCTGAACTTGCCTAGATCCATGTTGACTGTGAATTTGCTGCTCAAACGTGAAAGCATGATGCCATACGATTATTTTCTAGACTGTTGATTGATCGCCAGAAAAGACTCTCATCTTGTTTTGACTCTTTGAGAGGTAGGTGTGAACTTGAGCCATTGTCTTCAGGTGTTATCAGTCCGGCTGCAAAGTTAAGACAGCAGTGTGGGTTGACAGAAGACGACATTGACATTGACATCCGAAGGCGACTGCTGGTCTACTTGGCTATTCAACCAGCTGATCCTCGGGGCTTTGTGACAGATACTACCGCAACAAAAAGGCTTCTTTCGTCCAAATAAACCTCCCGGTCTGAGAACACAGTAGCGTGTAACGTTCTTCCTCAGAAACATTCTAGTGTTGCAAATTTCCAACAATGGAGGCGGGATCCTCTCCTAACATACTGAGGGACGACTTTAAGGACTGCTTTGAATGGCTGGTTCCGTGATACTGTCCAGCAGCTATGGACAGAAGTTGACGATGTGCTCCACGGAATCCTTAATCGGTCCTACCCTACTTTCATGAAACAAATCATGGGGGGCACAGGAGAGAAGGTGGAGGCCGGAACAGGGTTTTTGACTAGAGCATTGTAGCATTGTAGGTATTGAAGTTTTGTCTTTAAAGCTCAGTCTGAAACCTGCAAAATCCATGTACGGGCGAGAGGCGGGAGGTCAAGGGATAGACAATGTTGATTCAATGGCCGCAAAGCTTGACACGGATAGCCTTCACGAGCGTATCTGATCTTTTAATCACATTGTGGTTTTCACCAAAAGATCTATGAGTTCTGATCGTTAGACTGTGCGATGCTGTACGATGAAGACTTTTGGATCAGTATGAATTGAACCTAAGATGCGAATCAAAAAAGGGTATTGCATAACTCTTTTTCGTTCTTGTCTCGCTTTTAGCTCGTGTGCCATCAAGTGTATGTGGTGATCTCTGTGAATCGAATAAAATGCAAGTCCCCAAACATGATAAACACGCAGAAACTCAAGAATCAGATAATTCAGAAAATGATGTATGTCTGGGGTAGAAAAACTGCATGAGCACCCGTGGCCTATGGATAAGGCATCTGACTTCTTCTCAGGGGACTGCGTGTTCGTGTCCCACCGGGTAAGCATCGTGTGGACACAGTCTGCCGCTGTCGACTCCCTCTGCAGGACAGGGGCTAAGTCGCTCAGCACTTTCCACCAGGTATCACCTACGCTATAAGTCAGAGATAGTTCGCGCATTTAGTTGTGCTGGAAACAAGATCATCTCTTTGTACAATCTTCGGTCCATGCAACTCGATGGCACCAAATGCGTGTTCTATATGCTGACAATTCGCTTCATTGAAGTCGTGGCGGGATTTTGATTCATCCTTGTCAGAAGTAGCTCGCGCCGCTCGCATGAATCTTGAAGCCTTTGGTTTACTGTCAGTCCACTGCTTTCAAATATGTCAAGAATGTAGGACTTCCTGGACTACAACCCCCATAATCCCATCAGACTGCAGTGTCCACAGGTGGTATCATGAACGGCCACCGAGTGGCTTGCACCCCATCCTCAGGGATGCAGAGCTCGAGCAAAACTCTTTAGAGGTTCACATTGAGTGGAGGGGTTCTCAGTCAGCCCTGCCTCGATGGAACCACGCACGCTGTGCGCATGAAAAGGACAGAATCAAACCTCGCTGAATTTTGAGTCGTCTTTCGGTCAAATCTTTGCCGGCAGTTAGCTTCTCGAAACGTTTAATGTGGGAAGTTCAAGGAAAGAGAGCAGAACAAATGGTGAGCATGGATTCTATTCGAGTTCGCTCGAAGTTTCGAACACGTAAACTAGCCCAACGCGTCGAAGAATCCATTGATCGTGCTTGCAAGTTAATGGTTCACAACTCACTTGTGATTGCTTCAAACGTGTACCTCGTGAAAACTGTTGCGATGGAAGAAACATGTGCACCGGGTTTTTGTCATCAAGACTTGTAGGGATCAGAGTCTGAGTACATTAACCGTCCATATTTCTGTACTTTACACATGATTCGTAATATCTGAAGACGATCTTCAGATCGTCTTCAGATATTATATAGAAAGGGATTTCCAGACAGCAAAGCTGGACATGTAAAACTGGAGATGTGCCTCTTCGACTTGACTTCATTTAAGAACGAAACCGAAGTGTTTAATCCTACAATTTTTCTTAACAGTGAAAATGGATGTTTTGGAAACCTCGTATACCGACCGATACATGGACTGGTGATACTTCAATTCTAGTTGTGCTCCACATTTGACAAATTCATGTGGTTTAGCCAGCGTTTGTGACGCTGTAAGGTAGTCGAATGGTTTGAAGGGTCTAAGAATTCAGACGAGGTGAAGTATCAGAATCCAATTTATAACTCCAGACTCTGGTTCAGGAACAAAGCGTAGTATTACATTTATGTTCAAAAGTCCAGAATCCTACCTCATTAAAACTTGATTTCAATCACTTATCGTCTGGTTACCAACTTCTGTGATCTTCAACACTTACCAGAACATGTGTTCTTGTCAGTCAATCTCAGAGAAGGTTTCAGTGTGATAATCAGCATGCACCAACGTCACCTAATAACTTTCTAGGAGTGTCCGTTAAATTGTGAGATGCCAATGTTAGGGTGTTAGGTTCAGCACACGACTAGATAAACTGGCAGTATGTCATCGTAGCTCGATAAAATTCTACAAAACTTCGGAAAACTGCATCAGAAGAACATCATGTCGTTGTTTAGTATGACAGCTTCAGCAGGATCTTCATCATCTGGCTGAACCTCGACTGTTACAAGCGCCTGGATGGTGTTTGACAGACCAGAAGTTTCTATCATGTGGACATCTCCCTCATCTGAGCACAAGTCAGAAATGTCTTTGTAAGACCTTCTTCTTAGTATCTACGATGGCACATTCCGCGCCTTAAAAGCAGCTGGCCTTGTTTCTTCAAGGCAGTACTTCCAGATGGAAGAAGAAATACAAGGTTCACACAATCTCAGCTTTACCATGTTGTAACTATCTCCAGGTTGCTCATTGTGTGGATATACAGACGCCTCAAGTTCAAGTTCCGAAGAGGGCTCATCCCTCTTAGTCACAAGAGGAACAATATGGAGAAGCATTTTGCATTGTACTCTGTATGGCAAGGAGTGTGACGCTCCTTTGTTGGCGATGTGAAGGACTGTACCGTAGCTCCATCTCACATGAGAGCGAAACTAGTTATCGATCCGCTGATGGAGTCCAAGGTGTTTACGGAATTCAGTGGCCTTGATCGAATCCTCAGATTAGCTTCATATCTTTTTTGGAGTCATGGCTACTGGGCAGTGGCAACCTACAGGCGAAGGACGAGTGAAGAGTTGATTCTTGCAAGCTTCTAGCCAACTTCATATATGAGGAAAATATCCCACTTCTTCAGAGATAGTTTTCACTCTCATGTATTCCTCTCGGACTCTTTTCCCATCGACTTCTCCTCAGTTTTGTCTTATTTCTTAGTTCTCTTCACTTCAGTTTTACAGTATGTACTCGTGTAAACTTGCTATGGGCCCGCAAATCTCCCGTCCACAATCCCATCAGCATTCCACAATTTCATAGAGGGCGTGCTTCGGTACAAACCTGGATCTTGGGTGATCGAACTCATTGAGGTTCATTTCGTCATTCCTCTCACTCCTCTCTGTTTGGCATTCTTCTGCTCGTGTTTGAGCTCATGCAGTTAAATCTTGCTTGTCCGTGGCTCTTATGTTTCCTGACTAGACTCTCATCTGAAATTTTCACCACGATCATCGTCCAAACGTACTTCTTTCTGAACTGACACATGGACAGAGTATATAGATCGTCTCCAAGTCGACCAGATCTCGAATTTACTCGATATCTTCGGAATGCCTGCTGCTCGTCTCCTCCAGCAGTTTCCGAGATGAGTGAGACGTTACGACCAGGAATCTTTTCTTCGCACCACCCAGCTATTACAGTCACTTATTATTGTCCCTCTGAACAGAATTCCAGACATAAGCTGCTGATAGTAAAAAACTATTTAAGAGTGACAGTGGAATTTTTTTTAAGGCATAAATGATCGGCAACAAGGTGGTTGTAACAGCTCGGAGGAAAGCATAAATCAGAAACAATGGCAGGAATCCACAAGACCAATTTGACCCCAACCATTTTTCAGATTCCGAAATTCTATGCTCAACTCAGAGTATGAGATTGATATGATGTTACTGGAATATTGAGATGAGTGTCCATTTGGATATGGATGTTTTGGTGCTGTTCACTTACACCATACGCAAAAGAATCAGCTCTACGTGAACTTCAAGAAGTTTGAGACAAAGCAGTTATTCACTGTTGAATACGTACCGGTGCTAGATGATCTGAGCAGAGATCGGTACAATGCTGAGTCCTGCCACCATAAACCAACTGTGTCCCTCCAATTGAGCTTCCAAGTATTTGAGAACGATTGTAAACTGCCATAGGATTCATACATTCATTCAAGTATTTCCACGTCTGTGCTTGCAGAGAAAGAATATCGCATTCTTCTCGACGGGTTGGCAATTTTTGGTTTCGTCAATGATGAGCAAACAGCGGGAGAACATGTCCATGGTAGTGTCCAGAAACCCCCAACCTAGAAGCTCTTGATCTTACTCCTATTGTTTTGAGTAAATTGGACGAACCACTTCAGGAGTGTGATACATCTTGTTGACTAAAATGTTGAGCTCCCTCCCAAGCTTCCCCAAACATGTGAAAGTAGTTGTTCATATGTCCATATGATTCCAAAGCTAGAGAAATAAATAGATAAGCTCGCTGCAAATTGCTTTACTTGGACATTGGTTCTTAAATTTCCTCTCGCAATTGACATGAAAGAATGGATAATCATCCACCCCGAAACAATGTCAACGGTTGGAAGTGTAAACACAATTATTATCATAGTACTTTGATTTTCTCAAACCAAGTATAGATATATATCTTAACTTGAGTCGATTGCAAGGCTAACTACAAAGGAGATATATATTTCTTTTACTTAATAAAACTACTAATCTCGAATTTTATCATGGTAATTGTACTTTGTCTTTCAAATGGAATCCAAAAAGAATTTCAAAGAAATGAAATAATCGTTAGTATAAAGCAAGATTCACCTTGAGAACTTGAGTGAGCTTGGCAAATTCCTTTAGATTCATTGAAAGAAACAAAAAAAAGTATAACTCTCTTGAATATTATTTTCGACATGTTTTTTTTTACCTTTTCCTGATAGATTCTTCACCGTACACACATATGGAGATAAATATAGAGTTAGAAGGATAGTTTAGATTTTTTATCATCTTAAAAAAACTCAAAAAATGTTCCGGGAAAGATAGTGAAGAGCATATATGACATGAAGTTTGTCAAATGAAGGATTAATTTAGGCATTTGGAAGAAGATGACATGATATTTTTATCAATATTATCCGTTTGAATCAATCATAGTTAACAGTCATGGCATAGAAGTTCATAGACATCTAAGATATTTTCAGATTTAAGATTATTTTGATAACTTTGAACCAATTCAATAGGATGTGTAAATAGTCTACTACACAATATTTTGTTTTACCAACCTGAGTACTTAAGACCATCTAAAACTTCTTCCGTGGTACATATATCATCTGAAAATGGACAATTTTCCCACTTCATGTTGGAAAATGGACAATTGATTTTCCATTGTTAACCATCATCTCTCGAGATATATTTTAATTGGATTAAACACCTATGACTATTAATGAAGGAGACTATTTAAGATTTTCAGATGAAGGAATAACTCAAATCTGAATTTCCAACCAAAAAAAATAAAAAAATATGTGTTACATCTTGCAACCATTCTTCCTAGCAAGTTTCAAAATTTTGTATGAAATCTTGAGGGGAGTCAAGAAGTGATCTTAGATTCATTGAAGTGAAATAAATCATTATAAATTTGG